CCTAAAGTAAAGACGTAAAGTACCTAACGACTGAGTCTTTCACGTCGAAACGATGATAAAGATTTTTATCCGTTCTGGGCATAATAACTGTGGTCTGTGTTCTAATCGATAATATGGCTATTTGAAAAAAAATCTGTACTTTTGTCATGCGCTATTCGCTAAGCGGCCTAAGCCTAAGAGCAAAATGGCGATCACTTTTCGGGCAAAGCAAGATGAAGTACAGCAATGCTGTGCAATAAAATGCAACGTGCAGTGCAATGCAGTAAAAAAATATAACAAAGGTTGAACAAATAGATATGTTATGTTTTAAAATAATCAAAATTACAGAAATAATGTTTGGATAAAAACAATCAGGTATGGGATTTTCTAGCATTCATTTTATTTAAATATAAAAGTCAACTGAAATCTTGTTGATTTACAATAGCTGGCAATAGATGAGATTTAATTGAGCCAAGGATAATGGAACTCGCGTACGATCTAAATTGTGAAATGTTCAAGGGCAAAGATAGTTACTGAATTAGAATAAAGCGTTTTCCCATAATTATCGTAAAAAATGGATTTTCTCTTTTCTAAAAAAATCAGCACAACCCAGGCAGACATGGAGATTGAATGTGTGGCTACCGTATTATATTGATTCCCCACCAATCGATTCAGATATTCTAACTATGCCTATAGCATGTTTTCTTTGGGAGATCAACTTTGAATTAATTGTATGCATATGTAGAATCTCTGATTAAGAATAGTTGTGCATCATACTGTGATTGTGAGATATGATTGTTATGCCTGCCTGGTATTAACTGTCTCATTCAATAATGGTCATATAATCGAGGTTCTATACCGCGCACGTAAAATCAGTTTTCTCAAGTTTGTATAATCTTTGATTATTGCAGTTAATTACGCATTAGAACGTTGTATCAGCCTCGTCCCCGGCGCGGCGGGGGAACACGCGTGGGTCAGTGGGGAAGCTCTCGCGGGCGGAGCGCCTGGCAGAAAATGCATTCAAGATGGCGGCCAAACAAAGAAATGAGCAAGTATTTCTTAAGTTGACAGATCAGTAGTGAGCGTTCTTTGCTGGACACAATGCGAAGACCAATATTCGATGCGTTTATTGGAGGAAAGGTTTTGTGTGGGAGAGAAGACTGTGTCAAAAATTAAGATGTAACAAAATGTAACAAAATACACTTCTCTTCGATTTCTGTAGAATGGGTTGCATTTTCTGCCAGGCTCCATTTCGTGTTAAAATCCCTGCGCGCGACATTCCCCACCACTGTTCCCCACGCGCACGTAATGGAGCCTGGGGACGAGGCTGACGTTGTATCGTTTTAAAAATTAATAACTTAAGCATGGAAGCATGGAGTCGCAAACAAGAGTTTATGGCACACCTGAGAGATTGGCTTTCAGTTTTAGCTAGCTTCTGTCAGTTCAGAGTTGCGTCAAGTTAAAAACCTTTCATATAAGCACTTCATCAGTAGAACGTGCAGGTGGAACCCCAACATAACTGGAAATATTTAATATCTTCTAACTTGCTTCCATTTCTACTCTTCTTGCTTTTGATAATTTGGCCTGAAGACTTCTCTTAAACCTGGTTTTTGCGGCAGAATCTGGATGTTTTTCTTGTAAATGTTTCATGTAATCGCCACTTTCTTGGAAAGTTTCACCACAATCTTCACAAACATAAAGTTTAGCTCTTCGTTCTCGGAAACCGTATTCATAAACAACACCATGTACACGTGTTTTGTGTGCTTCAAGGGAGCAACGTTGGGTGAATGCCTTGTCACAGAGATTACATTTAAAAGGTTTGATACCAGTGTGAGTTCGAACGTGGCGTTTTAAATCAAACGTATCGTTAAAACCTTTATCACAGTACGGACATTGATAACGTTTATAAAACGAATGAGTTTTCATATGTCTGTTTAACAATCTTTGCAGGGAAAAGGTGCTTTTACATACATGACATTCGTATTTCTTCTCTTTCCCGCCATTTTCCATGATCAGATGTTGTTGTAGTATTTGTGGAGTGGGAACAACATTCCCATTGGACAACGAGGCAGGATTTGTTGCAATACTTAGTGGTAGGGTACCCGAGTCTTTACCATTACGCATACGGTTCTGCGCAGCCATGACGTCAGCAACGGGAGGTATTTGTTCTTTGGGTAGGACGCGTGTGGATAGGATTGTATCATAATGGATGTATGGTGGATAGCAGAAGTTAGGATGGACATATTGTACAGGAATAGGAGTTGTTACGTGATCTGGTCTAATGGGTTGATGGCTCGAAAAGACATAGATCGGCGCAGTTCCGGTTGGAAATAATTGATGGACATTTTGGCTTGAAACGTGAGGTGTTTGTTTATCTTTTTCCTGAACGACATTTTTCTCTTCTTTATCTTTTGTAAGATTCACCGGGCTACCACGATTCACTACATTTTTCTCTTTTTCTCTTGTCACTTCACGTTTATTACTCCCTTCGTTCGACTCTAAAAAGTCAGTTTTACTTATTAGGCAATCGCACATCTATAAATTAAACCAGACAGTGCTCAATAAAACCAGTTGAAAAACCGACTAAAATGGTGAATTTGGAGATCAACATGGCAGCAAGCTATACTAATGCAAATCAATACAAACCAATGGCAATACAATACAAAGCTGATCTCTTGTCATGCATGTTTACGGTCAAACTCTCGTGTTACCACATATTTTGCAATTGCATGCCTTTAGGTCGTGTGTTAACCATTGCTACTAATAATCGGAAAACTTCAAATTGCCGGTTGCTGATAAGCTTCCATTTCAGCGATAAAATATTACTAGTGTAAGTAGTGTCAAATTCAGCGTCTGTCTCTTTCTAGAATATGATTGCGCTATGCAGGTTTATTCATGTCTATCGCAACAGAAAATGTGTGGTATAAGTGATAAGTGAACATAAACGAGCTAGAGCAATTAAGATGAGCTGATAAATAAGAAACAATTATTTATTATACCCCTGGTCTGCATGCCCTTGAGTGACTGCAAGCTGTAGATAATTATATATCTCATGTATGAATGTTCTATTTTTGGGTATAGTGTATCATGAAAACTCGTCCCGCCTCCCTTATCCGGAACTCCTCCTCCGCAAATTTATCGTCAGTTCCAATTTATTTCTCGAATCTTTATACAAAGAATCAAGTAGTTGAAAGGGGCACTCGCATAAACCTAATTGATTGACAATGATAATTGAATGACGCCTTGTCTTTCCTTATCTGGACGAAGATCCTCAAGTGAGCTTAATAGAATTTATATTTTTCCTTCTACCGCCACATTGGAATAGATCCGGAAAACAGAGACCGCGGCCGAGAAAGCGGGATTTCCCATTGTACGGATTACCTTCAATTTTGTGCTGTCAAAACTGACATCGTATCTAAGAATTGTCGAGCGCATTTTATGCATGTGTAACCTTCCGATTTAACTTTAAGTACTCTCTTATTAGGGAGGAATACAAACTAAATAAATTCTGGAAAACAGCATCTTATAAAGACTGATCAGAAATTCTTTATTATCTTTAGAGTATATCGCTTGTGTCGATTGGTTTGGTTGCAAAACATTATTTAATCGGACATATAAATGACAAGTCGACATAAATGAACGAAGATTATCACATAGCTGATCAGTGTTTTGCAATTTGAGTCATTTCGTTTGTATATTCCATTCTTTCTTGTGATGGGATTTAAAAGAGGACGACTTATGCATTCTGTTACAACATGCATCTACGTTTTGTACAGGGGACAATATACAGCCAACTGTCTCTAATGCTAATTTGTCGTCGCTTCACAGAATTTTTTTTTACAAAAGCTAGCGTCCCGCCGCCACGCAGTTAGTTCTTGGACAATAAAGGCGAGTTATAGTAATATTTCTAAAACCCGCGGTAACGGATTTGATGAAAGCCTTTGGCTTTGGTGTATAAACAAACAAAATGATTATGTAAAGTTTTTGTGTTTTGAGAAACTGCAATCCAAATAGTTCGAGGATATTGCATGAAATGTTAAGCGATCAAAATGAACGGAAAATGCATAAATGATTCAAACGTATAAAATAACTGCATGACTAAACCGAGAATTATAAAACGTTTTAAACTCGCCGGCAGACTATGCAAAAATATCTTTCATCGACCACGATAAAGCGGGTGGCCTGTGTCCCTCGGTTCCATAAGATCACATCTTGGAATTTGGATTTAGAAACCCCCACAATAAATTTTGGGAAAAAGTATCGTTGGTTTTGAAAAGATCATTTAGTATAATATAAGCAATGGAACTTTTATAGTCAAAACGGCATCAAATTTCATAATTATGTTTGCATGCATTCTTGAGGAAATCACATCAATATCATGTGAATAACTGAATATCCATAAATAGAAAACGCATTTTAAATGAATTATTAATGTAAGAGAAACAATCTTAACTAAAGAAACATAACTTATATTTCGTCACTGTGCCTTTGTGTTTTTCAATGATTTTAAAACAAATCATTTGAAAAATCTAATTGAACCTCGTCAAGTGTCAATAAGTCCAATTTCCGTACAAATTGATTGCGTTTTTTTCTAATCAACACACAAATGCATCTAACTATGTGCTTTGACGCATTGGCCAAAACTTTCACTCAAAAACAATACGAAATTTTATTTATATAATACAGCTTGAATTGCTGATATTTTGAGTACATTCAAGTGGGTGGTGCTGCTAAAATTGAAACACGTATTGTTTGTTTTCACTTGAAGTTGAAAGCTAACACCTGAACGCCCGAGAGATGCGTCCGGGCAAAAACAGAATGTGTTGAGACAAGGAAATTGTGAAAAATAAACATCGTACATAATATTTCAGAAAAATACGAATGATTATGGTTAAAGTTGAAATTCTTTCTACCCAAGTCAAACAACATTTGAAATGATGGAATAACCGTTAAATATTTATCGAAACAGTGAAAACACCATGTCTTTGTTGTTTTTAGCAATCTGACCCCTGGCCCTGCTGTTTCGCCATTACTAAATCTTACTCAAACGAAAAGATGAAAACTAAAGAATATATTCGAAAATATTGAAGAGGTTTACACAAGTGGAAATGGAATTAAACTTGGCAAGTTTACAATTGATAAGCCGTTAGAAAGTGATTTTCACAAAGGAAATCTGAACAATTCAGGCAAAGGCACTCGCCTAATCACGTTTCCTGTCCAGTCAAGACGGTTCTTTTGTAATTCAATCTTTGCTCATTCCACAGACAAAATGTTGAATATTGTTAGAGATGACTAACTCGTTATTTTAACATTACCGTTATTACGGTTTTGACCTTGCCATGCAATAAGGCCGGCCAGGCAATACGTTTATCTCAAGATCTTAGTTATTCAGTTTTGTGGTTCAAAGTACATGTTCGGCAGTATCATGATATTTGACAATAATATTTATACAGCGTCAGCAATATACTCTATTGTGACAACGCTATAAGTCATCTTTAAGCAAGCATGCAATACCACACACACGCTCTCGTGCAATATTAAGTAAACGTGTTTTCATATACATAGAAAACACGTTAAATCTGGAACTGAAAGTGAAACGTGCATCCAATATTAGCAACACGCTCCAGCAAAACACAACATTTCATTATACCTTGTAAAACGTTATTAATAGAAAGACAGTTGGTAATCAGTTTGAAAAACGTTTTAAGTAGGATTGAATACTTTTATATATTTGATCAACACGCTAGCTGGTTTGTATAGACACGTTCGTTGATGATCATTCAGCATGATTTGCAACACGAACGAAAATTTGAATATGAATGTATCAATTAAATGATCGTAGAAGTCTCATTGTAATAGTTCACCACCCTCGATTGAGATAGAACGTTCAATTCAAGACAATTACCATCTTAAATACATGTAGAATTGCAATCTAATTGTTACAGATCTCGAAAACAGAAGATAGGTCGATGCTTTTTGATAAAATGAATAATTTAAATAGCAAAAATAATGTGTCGTGACATATTCCTTTATGCTTTAGTACTTTTAAGTAAACAAACCACATGGAAAGCTGTAAGAATACTAGAAATTTCGGACATTTAAGAAAGGTTTAACAGAACAAAAGATCTATTTCTTTTAGCCTTTTCCAGGCGAAACTATTTTTCATTCCGTTATTGGTGAAGTGATTTTATAACCGCTTTTTGCGTGACACAATAATGTTTGTTTCATGAGGAAGTTATTATACCACTGGCGTGAAATCACATTTCTGCTTTTAAATAGTCATGCAATATATTCTACAATCTTAACTTATTATTATTATTCAACTGAACCACCAAAATCCGCATATCCCAGGGTTGTCAGAATACAACACTCAAAGGAAACTTAAATTAACATATGCAAATGCTTGGTTTAGACCGTTATGCACCGGCAAGGTGATTCCTATGTTTCGTGTATCCTTTTGCCACTGATAACGGTGGCGCGATGATACCGTTGAAACAACTCAGATGAACAACAGTAACAAAACTAAATACAATAACCAGAATAATAAATTTTTGAGTGATATTAGTACCTTCGTCGGAGTATATGTTCAAGTCGTCCTCTTTTAACTGTTTACATATTTTCCTTTGCTTGACGAGAAATGATTTCGGCATTCTTGCGAGGAAATGAAGTATCTTAGATTGAAATTGTTGATTTGATAGCTCTCTTATGCAATCAGCGCAGTCGATGTTTTAGATATCTCCGTTATGTACGGACAGTTCTTTCCTGGTGTTGTTGCCACTCAACGTAGCTTGCGGTTATGACGGTATTAATGATACGGCAAGGAACCACTTGGCTGTTGTGAAATAAGGGTAAACAAAGTTAATTAATTTAGTATTTACATGCTGTTATCTTTTAATACAATTATTTATATTTTTCACGTATTTTAAACTGCATTTTTACTCAGAATCAGAACTCGAAGCTTCCATACTTACCTTCAACCATACAGTGCTTATCAGTAGCTTCTAACTTTCAAGCCAAAACACGATTGCAAGTTTCCACTTGTTCTCTGATAGAATGTGAAATTTGATATTTCCGAATGCAGCATTCAAACTCTATTTCAAATAACGTTAAGGTCACGGCCTTCGTTTCTTTAAGTAGATCTGGTCTATTTCAAATCATTGCATGGACTTCAACTTTTCCCCTCACAAGACATAACAAAAGTGTTCATATTTTCGCTTCCTTTACTGTGATATTATTTTATTGCATGACAACTTTCGCATTCACTTTAATCTAATTTCCTGTGAGCATGCTAGGCAGGCATGGCGGCATATAACTTGTCTATCACATGCTTTCAAATTTGATTCCAAAGTAAACTAAAAATGTTCTGCATGTATTTATTCAAGGAACCATTAATTTTGCTCCTTTGTCTTCTCAGCTGATCTTCATCTTACTAGAGAGATTATAAAATTATAAATATATCAGTTTATGTGTAGGCTAACTGGAATGTGTTCATTCTTGTACAGTTATTGACCTTATCAAATTACCGGGGCACCACTTTCATCTTAAATACGAAAGCCTAAAGAAAAGTTATATAATTATATTCATTGATATAACAGAGCTGATAGACTGACGTAGTCGTTTTACGATTTTGACAACGAAATGCTAACTCGTCTAAATACCGATATACAGGGCGTTGAACGTGATAAAAATGACATTTTATGTAATGTAACTTGAAGGGGCATGCAACTGAAAATATTTGCTTTATAAAATCTTAATTAATACCGTCTGTGTCCATAATCCAGCTGTCCATACCTTTTCCTCACACATGTTACATCTCCCCTGGCCTCGATATATCAACACCTAACGGCTTTTTGCGTGTGGTAACGTGTGTGCTTATACACCGTCTTTGTTGCGCATGCTATATGAATGGAATTGAGGAATGTATTGGAGACTTTATTATTTAAATTATTTGTAACACAGACATATTATATATAGATATTCCATGTTTCAAAACCTATTTTGGGTCATTCTTTCGAAACAGATAATGAAATTATCATGTCCGTCTCGTCGACCACGCTACTCAGTTTCAATCTAATAATAATGAGAGTTATTTGAATAACCTTTTTTCGAAGTTTTTTACCTCGATTGCATGCAGACCGCTATATATTCACTATTGGCTCAGACGTTCCCTAATTCTCTAATCTTTGTCACTGAGGGTATATAATATTACCAAAGGGTATACACATGCCTGACACATGCACGGAACAGTTTCACAGGGTGCTGAGGCCTAAATTTAAAATGCAGAATATTTTGAAGATTGCTGAATACTTTACCTACTCAACAGTGCAACTAAATCACGTAAGCCGGTTAGAGCTTGCAGACGAATCAATACTTTTTTTATGCGTTACAGATTCTATTTTGTTGCCTAGCTATATATTCCTGACAAGACAGGTTTACAGATTTAGTTTGCAAAGTTTTCAATGCATATAGAATGACCTCAGACTAGTCACCGAAAAAAATCGTTGCATCCACACGACACACACACACAATTGACAAACAAAACTTTCCCCGTGTGTAATAGAAAATATTACATGCACCGAGACGGAGCATTTTTTTAGTAATTTGGAGGTATATAAGTCATATAAGTACATTAGATCGATACCAACATATATGAGTATAGCATGTAACTGAACTGCAAGCATTTAATACTGACCAGGTTTAGTTTAGGGTTAGATGTGTAATTGTAGGGTTTGTATGAATAGTTGCTCAGAGACTAGTGGTTTTCAGTATTCATTGCCAATGTAAATCGTTCTAGATGCTTTAATTTTCCCCAACAAATTTGTTGTGAAAAGCGTGACCTAATCAAATCAGACTGTGTAAATCTCCACCCAAAAATTCTATAAATAATATTAGACAGGACATGCCCAAAACTGAATCGTCATTTCAATGTCATCGAATGTCATTGTAGTGGGGATTTTTATAGGAAACTCTTCTAATATTAATCGGTATAACTCTGGGTCAAATTTCATGCTTCTGTTTTTGACGATCTTTGCGCAAACACACGCTTGTTGTTTGCTGTACGTTGTTTCCCCTGCAGAGGTTTTTATGAATGGTAACTAGTTCAGGATATGTTCTTGAAGGATAAATGCAGTCGTTGGAAGAAAACGTGGAGACAAAACAAGTCTTGTTAAAAATAACCGATCAAAAATAACCGCCGCGGAGAGCGCCAACATTGCACTTATACGAACGTAGATCCGCCTAAACCTATTTGAGAATAATGCTTGCATTGCACCCTGTCTGCAAGACCAACAGGAAAGAGTGTCATCGAATATCATCATACCTATGACTGTATCTTCAGTTGCAGCGATACAACACAGATGGAGTGAATGAAATGGAAACTTTAAAATTGGGTTTGAATACAAGGTTGACTATGAAACAGGCTAATTTTTTAGAGTCTGCTGCAGAAATTTAAAAAGGGTATTCAAATATTCGTCTAAACACGCATGTTTTAGTAATTAAAAATACTTAAACTTGTTGGAACATGCATTGCAACCCATATGCCATGTGACTTGGTGTTACTGGTTCATATGATACATCTGCAATCATGTGACTAAAGTTTACTTCGTGATGATGTGACATTCAACAAAACGTTGTTGCACAATAAAGGTCGTCAGCTATGGGCATGGGTGGTCTTCTGACTTCGCAACCATTTGATATGCATGGCTTTGAGGATAGGTGTCTACTCCTCATGAAAATTACGACGTTGAAACCACAAAAATTTCGTCATTTTTTTGACCAGGCTGCATATAAACGTCGAAATTACTTTTACGATATATTCTATATCTTCTCCACCACTTGCACCATACATAAATTTAAATATTGACTGAAATAGTAGAAATTTAAATTCAAAGGCTTAAGAGACTTGGCATGCTCTGTCACGTCTGAAAATAAAATAGATCAGTGCCAAAGGCAGAGACCACTTACAACAGCTAATACTATTATATAGAATAGTTTGGCACCGAGGTTTCCAATATTATGATGACGTGCACATATAGCAACACATTTTTCTAAGAAATGGGAATGACAATTCACGAAAATTTACAAAATGTTTTTCTACGCATGTTTGATCAATTTAGACGATACTTAAGTATATTGTACTGCATGGGTAATGTGTATAGCTTTTTTCTTTCGACAGGTATTTAATAACTGAAATATATACTCTATATACATAAGAATTAAGTATATGTACAAGATAGCGTATAATTATACCTCACTATGCATAATGCGGAACAACTATATACGGTTGAAAAGGAACAAATGATCGTTTATCGTGACATGAAAATATCCACTTGGGTCTCACGAAAGTGAGCGAACTGTTGTCAACCAGAGCCTATACGAAGAAAAGTTTGTCTTTCAGCAAATAAATTAGATCACTCTTAATAACCTATAACATTGTGAAACATTGTTAAACATTTATTTCATTGGGTATTTATTTCATTTCGTTAACTATAAAATCATACCTCATCAAAATTGTCATCCCAGTCCTCATTCGTAATCACATATTTAACATTTTCACTCATGTATTCCTCCAGTTCACTAAAAAGCGACATTGTGCAAACAAAAGGCCAAATATAGCAATTGAAAGTTAATGTTCTACCTTGCAGACTATATGTAAATATTGTGAAATCTAGGGTTAAACTCTAATTGTGGTTTCGCTGTTGGCATATGGATATTACTGCATGCATATAGTATACTTGTAAAATCTCCAATTTGACTATTCCTGAAATGCTAAGAAAGTAATCTTGAAATAATAATACTCTCGGGAGGAATATCGCATTTTTCAGTAAAAGTTTACAAAACTATCTGATGACTCACCCATCATAAGCAGTTATATAGCGAACAAGAATTCTTCTTTCGTCCGAATCAAACTCCCCATGGAGAAAAAAAGTCATCTTTGAGAAGAAGTCTGGTAGATTAAGCAAATCCAACTTTGGTGACTTTGGAGGTGTTGTTTTATCTAGTTAGAATGTACAGTTTTTAATATATTACAATATAATATCAGGACAAATGTATAGGAAAAAATGGTTGTTAATCTTAGTGTAATTATTTTAGGAGTTAACGGTTTAGTTTAACAATCACCCTTTAACTTCCGATTCAATTTCTTAGAATCATCATCATCATCATCACTCTCGCATTCAGTTGAGCAGTTATAAGGATCTGTTTCGTCTTTACTTATTCTGTTTTTGGAAATATATTGAGAAAAAATTATTTCCACAACTATATATAATGTGATCTTTTTTAGTAACAGACGAACACAGAGCAGACAAGCACAAAAAAAAATAACCGATGAATTAGTTTGTGGAATTGCAATATTTACACAAATTTTAACCTTGCTATTTCGTCTTCTGTATCATAATCACTGTCTAATATTTCATCGTCAATGATCTGAGTTTTATCTTCGGAGTCCAAGCTCTCTTCAGGGTTGTCCATGTTGTTTACTTTGTTTTCAATACTTGCCACTGGTGGTGCATTTGCTAAGATGTCGAATAATTATTGTTAATAACTTAATAATAACTCATTCGTGACTTATTTTACCAGACAAATTAGTAAAAAAAGAAGCGACCAATCGATTAAACCATCCAAACGGTCCGCAAATTCTAATCTGCACCATCGAGAGAGACCTATACACGTTTAGTGAAATAATACAGGTTAATAAAAACTGGATGCCACTCACAATCTGCATTGGGTAAAATTGACTCTTCCTTCTTCTGAGTTGTCATCTCATCTTGTCGATGAGACGATGAAGCCTTTAAAAAAGTTGATAATGGCATTGATGCAACTGCTCAATAACAAATTTGGGTCACAAAAGTTTTTGTTAAGATTTATGTAAATTATCGGAAAACACATGATTTCACATCCACCGTAACCACGCATTTAAAAAGCAGATTAAAATTTTGTGAAAATGTTTTTAACTAAGGTGTGACGACGTTGTTTATCTATACTAACGGATTTCACAGGATGCATACTTTTTGTTCGGTGCAGTTTGAAATAGTAGGACGAGCTTTATCTGAATGATCCTCTTGTTCTGGTATTTCAACTTCCTCCTCTGTACTATCATCATCGCTATCATCATCACCATGTAGTTTGTATCTGGACCAACACAATAAAAAAGAACATATTTTTAATCGCTATATGCACTGTATATACCACCTGGTTGGATATTTTACTTTCTAACCTCTTTTCTGGAAGTCGTTTCCTTTTATTGAGGCATTCATGCACCCATTTTTGTGAAACTATTTTGCCCTTTCCTGTTGCTGAAATGAGAAAAGATTGTGATTGATGACGATGAAATAATCGGTTGTCATAGTTGCATGGAGTATTCATTCATCAAAGGAAGTTCTTCATAACTCATTTGCTCGATGAAATTTTCTTGTGTTAGCATTACGTATTAGCGTTACTGTTCGTTAAACGTTTAGGCCTGGGTGACATTTCGACCCACCTACATATAGTGAGACACTGTCGTTTTACCTCAGTTGATAAAATATTGAGATTTAGAGAAAATATTTACCTTTCACCTGAGAGTACTTTGGTGTGTTAATAAAAGCACATCTAAAGTTACACAACAAAAGATTTAGCAAAGAATTACGACAATTAAATTTTCAGACGAAAAATTGCAGCCCGTGGGTCTTACATTAAATGAGTACAAGCTTTATCCCAGTCTCCTCGATAGCGCGCACCCATTGACATTGCTTTATCTCGGAAATTACTACGTTCAGGATTCTTAAAACCGCTGAGCACAAAGATAACATCTTTCTATATAATTTAGAAAACCCATAATGCAACTTTTAACAAATTTCTCCGAAACCCATATCTTGCATGGTCCTATACTCATTCACAGACTTTCCCCAGTAATTCTAAGGACAGTTACGTTGAATGAGTTAAAAACCAAGAATCTACGCTAAAACGTTAATTGTGTTAAAACATGGGTCATTTTCTTACCAAAATTTGGTTCGTTGCGATTTCGCGTTTCTGGCTTTCTTGCGTTTTTGCCACTGAACACAATACAAGGGTATTAAGTAAATACAAGCAAAGCATGAAAGAACACAATTTTTTTTCAGTTTTCCAATATGACACACATCGTAAATGCAAAAAACAATTAAATCCATAGATATTAATCTAATGAATTTATTATTTCACGATGATTGTCCTACAACAATAAAATAGTTATATAACTTACATTTAGCCTTCTTAACAGGAGGTTCAACTTTTTCTTTACTAGACAACTACAGAATAAGGGCATAGATTTTAAAATATATACATTCCAGCAATAACTAGGTTGGTCGACTGGCAATTCGCCGAACCTTCATGAAATTTGTCAGTTCTTTTACGAAAAAGATATGGTTACAGTACTAGTATTTTAGGCGCAGTTACCTTTGGGATATCCGCATGTTTGGGAGAAGTAATTGTATTCACGTTTCGTTTTAATGGGTAAATAAAAAACCTAGTGATTATAATTGAGGCACGTTTCGTTCAATTTTTCAGTTAACCAGTCTTTATTAATTTTATTCTATATCTATAAAAATACGAGTAATGTATTTCTATATACTTGTCTATAAAACAGTCATGTTATTACTTTTCTGGTGAGAATTTGATAAAATGACAATTGAATGAGACCAAATTCCCTTACTATTTCTGCCGCCTTCTTTTTGTCAGAGTTTTCAGGTTTTACATCGAATTTTGCTGACGACGTTGTTGCCACAACAACAGCATGCTTCGAAGCTTCTCGTAACTCAGCAGCCGTTGATTTTACTTGGGAGGATGTTCTTTCAGTTTTCTCTTTTCTCTTTGCAAACAAGCTTCCTGAAGTTATTGTATCTTCGGTTTCATCTTTTAAAAAAAATGCTCCTAATTTTGTTTTAGTCTACAGTAAAAGAGATGAAAATCAAGCCATGTTTTTTTTCGGAACTCGTCTTTTGCTTTTTTAAATTATTAGCTGGTTAAAGTGTTTTTGTCATACACGAATATCATTAGTGTGTGTATACCTTCTCTTGTGTTTCAATTTTCTCATCACTTTCTAGTGTATGGAAATTTACGAATGATAGACCGTAACAAGATGTCTACATGAAAAATTAAGTTTGAGTTTATCAAAACCGAAAACCTCTGCACTATATATTAAATTTTGATACCTTACTATATGGCTGTGTGCACACTAGTTTGATTCTATCCCATTTCTGCTCTGCTACTGTTTTGGACAATTTCTCCGGGCCTGCGTCAGCGTCATTAAAAAAATCGGATTTACGTAAATTCTTAGTGATTAGAAAAAACAGTCAGAACACAACACAACAGAACCCCCTTAAACACAACATCTAGCATACTTAGGGTGTGTGGCTAATGTTTGTATCGTGCTACCTGGTGGCATTGCAACACAAAGAAACTAATACAAGCGATGTCTGATTGTGACTGAATTTGAGTTTGCACCCTTCTCACTTGAATACACAAACCTCAGTAGTTAATTTCACTTACCAAATATTCTTACTCTATTGTTGTTTGTTCCAGACTTACTTTCAGCGGGACTCATGAAAGACGATGCAACAAGCAGTACCTGATTAACCAATAAAAATTACTTCAGGGGTGACAATTGACTAAAGTTGTATTACAGGTATGAAGAATCAACGAAGTCTAGAAACTCTGAAAAACTTTCAAATATTGGACAAATAGTATGGACTATGTCTATGTCTTTTTATGATCTATGTCTTAAGCCTGGCTTCCATTTCGTTGTATAAATTGCGTCAGCATTTTCGACGAAAAACAGAACTGTCAGTACCGTAGTGTGCGTGTAAATTTGCCGTTCCGCGCATCAAGATCAGTCATTGTTGGCTGGGCATAGAGAGCAATATTGTATATTACCAGAAACGTGGCTATATCATTATATCAAGACAAGACTTTAATGCAAATTTGTTTATTCATCTGTAATTCTACATGGTACTGACCTGATAGTCATTCAGTGAAGCTCTACCAACTAAAACCTCCACAAAAGCTGAACCATTATTTCCTGAAGCATTAAAAGACAGAAAACAAACTTCTCAAATAATATTGTACCTCTTCACTTCAGTATAATAGTGGAATTAGCTCAATACTTACCAATATCCAATGAATTGATCTTAGATGCCTTCTCCAACTGGAAATAATTATTAGAATATTGTGAGATATATATCATAAAATTAGTATCCGGATATCCTTAGAATACTAGATTGTGGTTGTGAAATGTTTTTAGTTAATTTAGTTAATTAAATTGATAATTTACCTCAATTATTACTGATGCTTGCTTCTCTGCTGGATCAACACATTGCCATTTGCGATAAGTCTCAGATTTTAACAAGTTATCAGCAGGATGATTCTGGCACAAAATTAATTTGAACTATATTGGACTAGTGAAGAATTATTTTTCAACACAAAATACATCTGCTCATCTGTAGCTTATTGGTAAATATTTGTAAGAATCTACTTGTTTAATATTCATGAACAAGAAGACTGAATAAAGATTCATATGAGAATGACTGTAGTAGAGTGCAAGTCGGTTGTGTACTTGGTTATCTGACTGGTTGTAAGAACTAATAAAGGAGTACTAGCATTAGTTTGCCATGGTGTTCTTTGGAAAGTTTACCCCTGGACGATGAGAGATTAAGAAGTTTGCAGGAGGACAATTTAAGGCTGGCAGAAGTATGTAGCATTTAGAGAAGTTCACTAGTGCATGTTATCTACTGAGTACTTACAACAAACAAGATTGACCTCATCTCAACAATAGTCATTTACTCAACTGTTTTAGGCAGGGGTGCAGCGTGATGCACCCCAGTGTTTGCAAAGTGGTCAGTTAAGTTGGTTGGTAAATTACACATTAGCATCAGTATAAACTCATTAGTAATAAAAATGATTATATGTACACTTCCAAAACTGACCAAATGGCTATGCTATATGTCTTCTCTAGATTCACCTCATTAAGATAATTTAAGCTGTTACACCCCCAGTTAAGATAGTCATGCTATGCCCCTAGGTTTTTTGAGACCATGGAGATGGGAGATGTCTGACGTATCTATTGCAACAGCTAAGTGTAATCTGTCAAATGCGCACCCTCCCCTCACCCAAAACTTTCATATGGATTTTTAACTTTTTAGATGGTATGACACTGAATGATGTAGTCTGTAGGCTGTGCTATAATCTTCTGAGTTCTGCATATGTGATCACTACTAGCCTCCAGCGCAACCATTCTTTGTAAAAGACTCCTCAGTCGGGCATCACTGCTTTTTGAGGTCGTTATTATATTAAGTTAACTGTTCCCGTGCGCGGCAGTTTATGTACGTCCGACACTAAATTATGAGAATGGCCGCGCGGAACGCTTTATTTTCTATTTTGATGTTCCAAAAAGTTTAACAACTTCTATGAACGAACGTACCGGATCTTCACTGGAAAATGAGACAATATGTTTCAATTTTATTACAGGCATTTCCCTCAAAATTTTATTTTATTCCTCTTTCAAATTCTCACCGTTATTCAGACAGAACGTTCTGTTTTGTATTTAGTACTATTTACTATAACATTAAGTATATCATGAAGTCAAAAAATTTTGAACCTGCTGTGCAAAACATGTGCGGATTCTGGTATTTCTCGGAGATATTCGGTTTATATTCGTGCTTTCCGTGCTGTATTCGGCAAAGTTCGTCTTTCTATTCTTTGTTCGTAGAACTTTCGGATAATAGATTGGAGAACTTGTTTGACAAGAAGAAACGAGAATAATTCTCACACGTGTTAGGAAAAACATCGTTTAAAACCATAAGTTATGCTGGAGGTTGCCCAACAAACAGCTACTGCAGCTAACAAGAAGATTTATATAGGTGGATTTTTAACATTTGTTTTGTTTTTTTCCCTCAAAGTGTGCTGTGATCGTTCTATAGTACAAATAAACGAAGTCACTAGGACACCCTGAGCAATTGCTGTATTGCTACCATATCTTGAGTTTACATATTTTAAAAAAATAGAGTCATTTTTTATCTTTTTACTTCTATCTGTTGTTTATTTTATAATTGAAGCTGTCTTTGCCCTAATACCCTTATTATTTAGTACGTAATTTTCCATGTTTATATTGATATATAATTGCGATCAAATGTGTGGTGTTTTTGTATTCTGTATGTAAGTTGACAGTTGACAATTATTAATTATACATTAGCAACCTAGCTTGGTTTAACTACCAAGATGTATTACAATCAACAGTGATAATATGTAAGATATAATGTGTAGTGAAGCACAAACCATCGACTGTAGTTGATTGGTTTATCAGGTGATTGGTTTATACAAGATAGAACGATTGTGATTTTACAAATTAAACCCCTAAAACAGAAAATGTAAAAATAATTTTTGATGAAAAATGATGTAAATTTTTGGGTTTGTGGGAAGAATTCAACAAATGGAATTAAAACTTTCCCTTTGTGATTCCAAAAGCTGATCTTGCCATTTAACATTAAGCTTGCATTAACATTTCTAAATGGAAGGGGTGCAATTTGGATTCCTGTCAAAGTACTTTGAGTTCCATGTTTCACAATGTTCTCAGTTTGGTCTAAAAATCGTATAATCCTATCATTACCTAACCAGCCATATAATTAAAAATGATCAAAATAATTGAAAGAAAATTGAATAATTATATCAATATGCCAATTTATCTTATATACATTTTATCTTATGCTATGCATTTTTGTACCTAATTTTGGTTAAAATGTGGAAATTTCTATTGTAAAGTATAAGCATTGACTCTGTACCAGGGTGGCTGTTAGAAGTAGTTTAGGAGTTCTTTACAAATTTCTGTAATTTTTTATGTTATGATATTGCATTGATGCTTTTCACAATGGAACACTGTTTTTTTTCTAAAGGCAATCTTTCTCCAGATGTAACCAAGGAAGATATCACTCAACATTTTGCATTGGATGCAACACCATATCTTAAATCAGCAGTTAAAATAGAACTACCTGCTCGTAAAGGATATGCATTCCTTTTTGTCCCAGAAGCATTTGGTGATCATGTGATAGGCTTTGATGGTACAGAGTTGAACAACAAAAAAATCAAAGTGGAATTGGCAAAACCCAGGTCTCCTTCTCAAACACAACGGACAAATGGTCGTTTGTACAATCGTGGTCCAAACAACCAAAGACGGGTCTATAATTATGGATTTAATCGTGAGAATTATGACCAACATTCACAGTTTCTGAAACCTCTTGTTGTTCCTCCAAAGGAATTGCTTCATGCTATTGATGTTGTTAATTTAACCAATCAAATGTGAGTCAGTTTTAAGTTTCTGATGGCACCTGTTGAGTAGTTTTTATAAATGTTTGTAAAAAAGCACAATTTCTGCTTAAGTCTTCCCATGGATGACTGTAAATTGTTTAAAGATTAGGGAATTTATGTGGGGAATTAATGGTTGTTCATGTTAAATATCAAAAGCTTACTGTTCACCCTGTTTAACCATTTTGCACAAGTTGCCAGCATGGTTTATCAAACACATGCATAGAAATGTATCTCAAAAATGGTATTTTGTCCTATGATGTTGATATGTCTGGTTCCTTACTAGGTTTGCCAATGACACAGATTATGTGATAGCTCGAGCTTTAAGTGCTGGAATATTTAAAATGGTTGTTACTGGAAACACATTAAAAAAGAGTCGTGTGGCTGTTTCACTTAGCAAGACTCGCCCTGGTTTTCTGTACGCTGCAGTTGGCGTTCATCCGCACTGGTCTCAAAAGGAATGGAGCGACAATTCTCTTAAGGTATTATTAAGGCTCCTATTAGTCTACAAATTGTTATAGAATTGCCACTGGAGACTTCAATCTCCTGATCTATCATCCAAGTGGAGAGACTTGGGCTGTCTCAAACTGACCTATGTATTGTAGAGTAAGATATATAAATACACACTGCAGTAATATGTGAGGCATTAAGTTGAAAGTTGAAACAATGACTAGCACATTGCCATAAACACAATATCCTGTAAGGATGTAGGTATACAACAAACAGATTTTGTACCCCATGTCTATATACTATCTATAGATTTTTAATAATCGACCCTGTCAAAAAAAATCTTTGCTGAAAATTCTTATAATATAGTTTTTACATTCAAGCTGTATGGTCGATGTCTTGATTTTGTTATCATGCACATTTAATTTCATATTTATTTCTCTTCATTATCGCTCATTCATTAAGCAAGGTCCGTGGGCTACTCCACAGCTGTATGTACTTTTAAGCTGGTAACACATGGTAACAGCAAACAGTAGTGTTCATCTTTTTTGCTTAAAATATTTTCTTAGCTTTTTGACTTTATATCATCCATTATCTCGAGAAGCTAATGATATTGAACCTGGAAGATTTCCCCTTCTTTGTATCTTAATGAGCAGGCTTATATTTCCCTCTTCAATGCACTGTTCTTAGCGTATTGGAAGCCTACATAAATGTAGCATTCCTGTGCCATTTATCATTAGGAACTGGAAGAGTTGGTACAACTTCCTGAAGTGGTGGCTGTTGGTGAAGTTGGTCTTGATCTAAACCGAAATTATTCCCCTCCAGAAGTTCAGGAAACCGTTTTTGAAAAACAAGTATGTATATTGCATATCAGTATATAGCCATTGGCACATGGGTGTATTTGTGAAGGAGTGATAAGGGTCTGGCTTTTATGTCAATCCCCTGTTAATCAAACAGTTTTGCCTGGCTGGATTGAAGATATGCTCTTGTAAAGCAGTTTTTTTAGTGCTTTTCAATGATTTTGCAGGGTTTGAGGCTTTCGAACAGCGCTGATTATATACACCTTCAATTTGATAAAAATACTATGCATCAGTTAGAAAACTGTTGTGTCTTTAGTTATTGGTTGCGTGTAAATATAAGAAAACTCTGCTGGCTCATGAACGAGAGGCTCATGCAAAATTCATGGAAGTAATTACTCGGCATCGAAACCATCTTCCGCAAGTGATTATACATTGCTTTACTGGAAGTAAGGAAGAAATTAAGGCTTATGTTGACATGGGCTTTTATATTGGAATCACAGGATTCATATGTAAAGGTAAACAAACTGTTTTTATGTAACGCTCGTTTTTCTTCTCAACGATCTTCAAATGTGGTTCAACTACTGATCAATAAAAATTGAATAACTAAAAGAAAACCTTTGATAAAGAGCCGTGCAGCTGATTCCGGGTTATCATGAAGCATATAATTTTTTTCGGACATCCTATCAACGAAATGCAAACTGCCTGATCGCGTATTTTAGGATAGATCATTCGAAGTTCGTTGATTTCCATACAGGAAAGGTTCGTTGAGGAAGTTTATTGGCTCATTCAAACTTGTTGGTTACAAAACCTGGAAAAACAATCTATATATATATATATATATATATATATATATATATATATATATATATATATATATATATATATATATATATATATATATATGTTCCTAACTAAACTTACCGTAAAACAACATCTAGTAAGTTTTATTTAAATAAATCGTTTTCTTTTTCATGCCAAAACGGTTTCAAACACCGTCAATTTACAATAGAAATTACACTTAATTTAACATGTTGAGAATATTTTCTCTTAAATCATGTGGACAGGACGTCAAAACGATACACTAGATAAAAACGATTTTGAAAACGCTCGAAGACGATGGTCGTTTGCACACAGTCTAAGTTAGGACATAACTATGGTTAGGGTTTAGTATTTTTGTCGTCTTTTAAAGTGGAGAGCATTAAAATTATTTAAACCATGGCGATTACTGAACGAAAAAAGTTTTATGATTCCATTCCGTAGGGATATTTGAATTTTTTTTGCGAACTGTTCCTGGTTTTGATAAATATTTTTTGTTCAGAAAATCGAAGCCGTCAAATTCGTGAAGCGATCAAAGATGGCACACTACCGCTTGACAAAATAATCATTGAAACAGACGCTCCATATATGGTTCCCAGTCTCCCTCTCTCTCAATTAGATGAAACAAGCCGCATGTTGTTAATGAGATGCAGAGAAGGACGTAATGAACCATGTACCCTTCCAGTTATTGCGAAGACTGTCGCAAAATGTATGGGAAGAGAAGCAAAGGAAGTTGCTCGTGTTACGACAGCAAACGCTGCAAAAGTATTTGGTTTGACAGCCCCGCAAGTGTGAATAAATACTGTCATATGATTGGATAGATATACGTTGAAGTTATATACTGTAGGATTCTCAAGCTGTTGCATTGGGGATTTGGATTATGGACGAGATTCAGAGCTGAAATTTGTGTTTATTTTTGTATTGTACGTAGAATGGTAGTTGGGTACATGGATCAATATATGTCAGTTTATTGTAATGTTGAATATATTGGATGCATTTTTTGTTAACCCCGAAGTAAATAAAGGAGGGGACATTGTCTATTTTTCAATATTGTCCGCTTGGTGAATGCATGTAAAAATTGCGGAGAAAATAAATTATAACGTAAATATATATATATACTACATTGTTCCTGTCTTTAACTGTTTGTCGCAGTCTCACATGATATATAAAATGTAGGTATCTCAATCCATATATAGAATGTACTTGTTCGTTTTATGTCAGATACAAAATGAATTTCATAAATCAGAAAGATATTTTAAGAACTTTGCTAGCGAAATTTTTATGGAACATCTCTGTGTTCGTGATAGCAGCTGACGAACCCACGGTGACCATGTTTTTAATCTCGTTTTTCTCTGTAAATATATATTAATTTCAACAATGTTATTTGCTTAGTTCAGAGGTCGAATTGATAGGGAAAAAAGTTATATGGAGTTGGTCAGACGTGTGGCGTGTAAAAAATGCCCGTCGGCGCTTTCGCCGAAGTATTACGAAATCTTACAACCAGAACATAACGATCAATCCCATCAATCAGGCCGTACTTTCTCCTCTTCACCCTGGCGCGCTTTCATCTTTCCCTTCGCCGCGAGACTTAGATTGCCGCGCGAAAAACAGTCTGCATGATATAAGCACTTTTATGACTGATTTAATTCTAAATTTAAAACTGCAGTTGTGGCGTCTGCAGGAGGGGCGCTGGTGGGCCACTTAGGTGCATGAATACGTCCCCCATATGCAGTTATCCTTACACCTCGTTTTGAGATGATATTACATTTACTAGGAAAATGAAAAATTATGATAATTATTGTATGTATTTATGTTAATATGTTTAGAAATTGTTTGTTCTGAAAAATAATATTGTTTCCCTCTCATGCATATCTTCCTTTTATTCTATTCTATTTAACGATACACCTTATAATTATGCATAGCCTATTACTCCTATAAAACACCTCCCGAATTCCAATAGCGCAAAATCGAGGCGGACGATGTTATCTACTTTTACGACTATTTTCATTGCATACAGCAAATTTGGGAAGTGTTTCTTAAAATCATCAAAAAAATGTACTTTGAAATGTACTTAACGTGGTACACCACAAAATATCTTAAATAACATACCTAATATCTTAATTAACATACCTAATATCTGTTTTCAGAGTCTAGTTCACAGCACAGACATCAGTGTGCCAAGTATGCTTAAATCGTTTTGGAGCTTTGTGTGGTGTACTCAACGTTCCCCTCGTATATATCGTTATAAAGATATTTTAAAAGCTATGTTAAAACTATTTACTAAATTACTTAATACTAATACTAAATTAAAGATTCCATAAAGTCGTAAATAAACAGCTTTAAGGTCGACAATGACATAGAATACACATCACCTTAAAATGAAAGAATAGCGTTTCAACGTAAATCACGCGGCGGTCGTAGTAATAGATTATTGTATATCACGGCTAATAGGAATTACATGCAAATGATGAAGTATTTACCTTATTACCTGTTACAAAATAGATTATCAGACTCTATATAGGAAACTTCAGGTCGGAAGGACCTGAACATTCATTTATATGGATGAAACAGACTGTATAGTGGATTTTGGCAAGCTAATACTTTTATATCTGCTGTATCTAAATGGTATTGAGAGCACTCTCTACCAAACGAAATAATATATAAAAAATCGATATTTACTCAGAGAAAAATAGAACAATTGAAAAATCTGACCTTTAAATTTTGTCCCAAAACTTAATTTTCCAGCTTTTTTGATGACGAACCCGTCATCTGGAGTTCACCGACTTTTAACTTTCCATCAAGTTTTGGTTTTCCCGTTGTTGAATCCTTTTCTTCGCTCAATTCAGTTTCAAATTCTCCAGCCTTCATTAGAAAAGATTTCTTGTTCATTGATGACGAACCCGTGATCTCGAGTTCACCGACTTTTAACTTTCCATCATGTTTTGGTTTTCCCGTTGTTGAATCCTTTTCTTCGCTCAATTCAGTTTCAAATTCTCCAGCCTTCATTAGAAAAGATTTCTTGTTCATTGATGACGAACCGGTCATCTCGAGTTCACCGACTTTTAACTTTCCATCAAGTTTTGGTTTTCCCGTTGTTGAATCCTTTTCTTCAATCAATTCAGTTTCAAATTCTCCAGCCTTCATTACCAAAGATTTCTTGTTCATTGATGACGAACCCGTGATCTCGAGTTCACCGACTTTTAACTTTCCATCAAGTTTTGGTTTTCCCGTTGTTGAATCCTTTTCTTCGCTCAATTCAGTTTCAAATTCTCCAGCCTTCATTAGAAAAGATTTCTTGTTCATTGATGACGAACCCGTGATCTCGAGTTCACCGACTTTTAACTTTCCATCAAGTTTTGGTTTTCCTGTCGTTGAATCCTTTTCTTCGCTCAATTCAGTTTCAAATTCTCCAGCCTTCATTAGAAAAGATTTCTTGTTCATTGATGGAACGACCCGTGATCTCGAGTTCACCGACTTTTAACTTTCCATCAAGTTTTGGTTTTCCCGTTGTTGAATCCTTTTCTTCGCTCAATTCAGTTTCAAATTCTCCAGCCTTCATTAGAAAAGATTTCTTGTTCATTGATGACGAACCCGTCATCTGGAGTTCACCGACTTTTAACTTTCCATCAAGTTTTGGTTTTCCTGTCGTTGAATCCTTTTCTTTGCTCAATTCAGTTTCAAATTCTCCAGCCTTTATTCCAAGCGATTTCGTGTTCTTTGATGACGAACCGGTCATCTCGAATTCACCGCATTTTAACTTTGCATCTAGTTTTGGTTTTCCTGTCGTTGAATCCTTTTCTTTGCCCAATTCAGTTTCAAATTCTCCAGCCTTCATTAGAAAAGATTTCTTGTTCATTGATGACGAACCGGTCATCTCGAGTTCACCGACTTTTAACTTTCCATCAAGTTTTGGCTGTCCTGTCGTTGAATCCTTTTCTTCGCTCAATTCAGTTTCAAATTCTCCAGCCTTCATTAGAAAAGATTTCTTGTTCATTGATGACGAACCCGTCATCTCGAGTTCACCGACTTTTAACTTTCCATCAAGTTTTGGTTTTCCCGTTGTTGAATCCTTTTCTTCGCTCAATTCAGTTTCAAATTCTCCAGCCTTCATTACCAAAGATTTCTTGTTCATTGATGACGAACCCGTCATCTGGAGTTTACCGACTTTTAACTTTCCATCAAGTTTTGGTTTTTCCGTTGTTGAATCTTTTTCTTCGCTCAGTTCAGTTTCAAATTCTCCAGTTTTCATTTGAAAAGATTTCTTGTTCATTGATGACGAACCCGTCATCTGGAGTTCACCGACTTTTAACTTTCCATCAAGTTTTGGTTTTCCCGTTGTTGAATCCTTTTCTTCGCTCAATTCAGTTTCAAATTCTCCAGCCTTCATTAGAAAAGATTTCTTGTTCATTGATGACGAACCCGTGATCTCGAGTTCACCGACTTTTAACTTTCCATCAAGTTTTGGTTTTCCTGTCGTTGAATCCTTTTCTTCGCTCAATTCAGTTTCAAATTCTCCAGCCTTCATTAGAAAAGATTTCTTGTTCATTGATGATAAACCCGTGATCTCGAGTTCACCGACTTTTAACTTTCCATCAAGTTTTGGTTTTCCCGTTGTTGAATCCTTTTCTTCGCTCAATTCAGTTTCAAATTCTCCAGCCTTCATTAGAAAAGATTTCTTGTTCATTGATGACGAACCCGTGATCTCGAGTTCACCGATTTTTAACTTTCCATCAAGTTTTGGTTTTCCTGTCGTTGAATCCTTTTCTTCGCTCAATTCAGTTTCAAATTCTCCAGCCTTCATTAGAAAAGATTTCTTGTTCATTGATGACGAACCCGTGATCTCGAGTTCACCGACTTTTAACTTTCCATCAAGTTTTGGTTTTCCTGTCGTTGAATCCTTTTCTTCGCTCAATTCAGTTTCAAATTCTCCAGCCTTCATTAGAAAAGATTTCTTGTTCACTGATGACGAACCCGTGATCTCGAGTTCACCGACTTTTAACTTTCCATCAAGTTTTGGTTTTCCCGTTGTTGAATCCTTTTCTTCGCTCAATTCAGTTTCAAATTCTCCAGCCTTCATTAGAAAAGATTTCTTGTTCATTGATGACGAACCCGTGATCTCGAGTTCACCGACTTTTAACTTTCCATCAAGTTTTGGTTTTCCCGTTGTTGAATCCTTTTCTTCGCTCAATTCAGTTTCAAATTCTCCAGCCTTCATTAGAAAAGATTTCTTGTTCATTGATGACGAACCCGTGATCTCGAGTTCACCGACTTTTAACTTTCCATCAAGTTTTGGTTTTCCCGTTGTTGAATCCTTTTCTTCGCTCAATTCAGTTTCAAATTCTCCAGCCTTCATTAGAAAAGATTTCTTGTTCATTGATGACGAACCCGTCATCTGGAGTTCACCGACTTTTAACTTTCCATCAAGTTTTGGTTTTCCCGTTGTTGAATCCTTTTCTTCGCTCAATTCAGTTTCCAATTCTCCAGCCTTCATTAGAAAAGATTTCTTGTTCATTGATGACGAACCCGTGATCTCGAGTTCACCGACTTTTAACTTTCCATCAAGTTTTGGCTGTCCTGTCGTTGAATCCTTTTCTTCGCTCAATTCAGTTTCAAATTCTCCAGCCTTCATTAGAAAAGATTTCTTGTTCATTGATGACGAACCCGTCATCTCGAGTTCACCGACTTTTAACTTTCCATCAAGTTTTGGTTTTCCCGTTGTTGAATCCTTTTCTTCGCTCAATTCAGTTTCAAATTTTCCAGCCTTCATTACCAAAGATTTCTTGTTCATTGATGACGAACCCGTCATCTGGAGTTCACCGACTTTTAACTTTCCATCAAGTTTTGGTTTTCCCGTTGTTGAATCCTTTTCTTCGCTCAATTCAGTTTCAAATTCTCCAGCCTTCATTAGAAAAGATTTCTTGTTCATTGATGACGAACCCGTGATCTCGAGTTCACCGACTTTTAACTTTCCATCAAGTTTTGGTTTTCCTGTCGTTGAATCCTTTTCTTCGCTCAATTCAGTTTCAAATTCTCCAGCCTTCATTAGAAAAGATTTCTTGTTCATTGATGACGAACCCGTGATCTCGAGTTCACCGACTTTTAACTTTCCATCAAGTTTTGGTTTTCCCGTTGTTGAATCCTTTTCTTCGCTCAATTCAGTTTCAAATTCTCCAGCCTTCATTAGAAAAGATTTCTTGTTCATTGATGACGAACCCGTGATCTCGAGTTCACCGACTTTTAACTTTCCATCAAGTTTTGGTTTTCCCGTTGTTGAATCCTTTTCTTCGCTCAATTCAGTTTCAAATTCTCCAGCCTTCATTAGAAAAGATTTCTTGTTCATTGATGACGAACCCGTCATCTGGAGTTCACCGACTTTTAATTTTCCATCAAGTTTTGGTTTTCCCGTTGTTGAATCCTTTTCTTCGCTCAATTCAGTTTCAAATTCTCCAGCCTTCATTAGAAAAGATTTCTTGTTCATTGATGACGAACCCGTCATCTGGAGTTCACCGACTTTTAATTTTCCATCAAGTTTTGGTTTTCCCGTTGTTGAATCCTTTTCTTCGCTCAATTCAGTTTCAAATTCTCCAGCCTTCATTAGAAAAGATTTCTTGTTCATTGATGACGAACCCGTGATCTCGAGTTCACCGACTTTTAACTTTCCATCAAGTTTTGGTTTTCCCGTTGTTGAATCCTTTTCTTCGCTCAATTCAGTTTCAAATTCTCCAGCCTTCATTAGAAAAGATTTCTTGTTCATTGATGACGAACCCGTCATCTGGAGTTCACCGACTTTTAATTTTCCATCAAGTTTTGGTTTTCCCGTTGTTGAATCCTTTTCTTCGCTCAATTCAGTTTCAAATTCTCCAGCCTTCATTAGAAAAGATTTCTTGTTCATTGATGACGAACCCGTCATCTGGAGTTCACCGACTTTTAATTTTCCATCAAGTTTTGGTTTTCCCGTTGTTGAATCCTTTTCTTCGCTCAATTCAGTTTCAAATTCTCCAGCCTTCATTAGAAAAGATTTCTTGTTCATTGATGACGAACCCGTGATCTCGAGTTCACCGACTTTTAACTTTCCATCAAGTTTTGGTTTTCCCGTTGTTGAATCCTTTTCTTTGCTCAATTCAGTTTCAAATTCTCCAGCCTTCATTAGAAAAGATTTCTTGTTCATTGATGACGAACCGGTCATCTCGAGTTCACCGACTTTTAACTTTCCATAAAGTTTTGGCTGTCCTGTCGTTGAATCCTTTTCTTCGCTCAATTCAGTTTCAAATTCTCCAGCCTTCATTAGAAAAGATTTCTTGTTCATTGATGACGAACCCGTCATCTCGAGTTCACCGACTTTTAACTTTCCATCAAGTTTTGGTTTTCCCGTTGTTGAATCCTTTTCTTCGCTCAATTCAGTTTCAAATTCTCCAGCCTTCATTACCAAAGATTTCTTGTTCATTGATGACGAACCCGTCATCTGGAGTTCACCGACTTTTAACTTTCCATCAAGTTTTGGTTTTCCTGTCGTTGCATCCTTTTCTTCGCTCAATTCAGTTTCAAATTCTCCAGCCTTGATTAGAAAAGATTTCTTGTTCATTGATGACGAACCCGTCATCTGGAGTTTACCGACTTTTAACTTTCCATCAAGTTTTGGTTTTCCTGTCGTTGCATCCTTTTCTTCGCGCAATTCAGTTTCAAATTCTCCAGCCTTCATTACGAAAGATTTCTTGTTTATTGATGACGAACCCGTCATCTGGAGTTCACCGACTTTTAACTTTCCATCAAGTTTTGGTTTTCCCGTTGTTGAATCTTTTTCTTCGCTCAGTTCAGTTTCAAATTCTCCAGCCTTCATTACGAAAGATTTCTTGTTCTTTGATGACGAACCCGTCATCTCGAGTTCACCGACTTTTACCTTCCCATCTAGTTTTGATTTTCCTGTCGTTGGATCCGTTTCTTTCCTTAATTTAGTTTCAAATTCTCCTGCCTTTATTCCAAATGCTTTTGCTTGTTTTGAACTAGACGCGGAGAGTTCAAATTCTCCTTTACTTATACGGGCTGAATTTGACTTTTTATTAGTCGCTAGATCCTTTTTTTTTGATACACCAGCTTGAAAATATCGTATTTTAGTTTGTACTGTGTTTGACCCATTTGCGTTAAAAACCCCGAGGGAGACGTCTTTACACTGGACTGTGGTAGAGAAACCATTTTTTCCAAGAGAGGCTCCTAATTCATTATCTCCGGAACGAAGATTCATATCAACGCCATGGTTTGTCACACCCACTCCGAAATTGTTTTGACCATTTTGTATGGATAACGACCCACCAGATGGGCCGCCCGAGACACTAAATTTCTTATCGCCAACTTGTCCTTTAAATCCTATTTTTTGTTTTGATGCAGAAAAACCAACACTCACATCACCAGCTTGTACATATGTTGCAACACCATCTTTTCCTCCTCTTACATTGAATCCAAGATTAGAGTTTCGCATTTGCGTTGTTTTGGCATGTTCAGAAAGATCAGTGTTGACAGATTGTTTCATTTCACTTGCAACTGTTCCGGAGAGTGATCCAATTGTTGCAATATGCTCCATTTTCATGAATTTTTCGCCCTGATGCATACCAAACCCAGCACTGATCTTAGTAATTCCTAAATTGATGCCGGATTCGTTTTGTGATCGATAACCTTTTACTTTTTCGGAAATTATATTATCAGCGAATTTTGCTATATCACCATCTGCCGTGACCGTAGAACCTTTTAAATGAACAGAACCAACTTTGAACTCGTTATTTATAGATCCGCGAGAGTGAATACCGCTTGACCTTTCAACATATTTCCCCCTGTCGCTGCTTTTACTAATGCCATATTTGCTAGGAATTGGTAATCCACCGCTTACCACAAAACCAACACTTTCCGTTTGTTTATAAGCTTCAATTTCGTTTTGTTTAGAAATTACAGCAAGGTGTTTAACATTTCCTGAGATCGCTCCGGTATTTAAGTTACTAGCTGTCAATGTAACGTTATTGCAGTCAATAAACCTTGTTTTTCCTCGCACATTTATACTCTGATTGATAATCTTCTTTTCTTTTCCCCATGATTTTTCATTTGTAATGTCAAAAGACATACCAAAATTTACGGAGGAACTTTTTTCTGAATATGAATTGTTCAATTCAGCTCCCTTGAATTTTGCATTTTTTGCATCAACAATTAAATTTTCGGCATCGATTCTCATTGCATTTTTCACAAAAACATTTTTTCCTTTCAAAACGAGATTTCCACCACTTTGTTGTAGTTTCGAACCAGCCAGCTGTTCCTGGTGCATTTGTTTGTGGGATTTCCCATAAGATAAACCTTTTTCCAGAGAGAAAGAGAGTCTACTTGTATGTGGTTTTTCTGACTTTGACAATTTTCTGTCTTGCAGCAAGACAGTTTCTGCGGCATCAAAAATCATGTCACCCTGAACAGCACAATCTGTCCCAATCATTTTGATATTTCTTTTGGATTTAATATTTACTTGACCTCCAGATTTTATTGTTGATTTGTGGCACTCTTGAATTGTACGTTCCTCTCTCTTTTTTCGTACAGGATCAATGATAACATCTCCTTTAGCTTTGATGCTTACAGCTTGATCCCCAGAAGTTGACGTACCAGACATTTTCACCGAACCTTTGCAAGCTTCAACCATTGCAACTTCACCAGCGTGAATTTGAGACGAATTCATGCCAACATTTCCGGATTTAGATTTAAGTGAAACAGACTTTTGTGATGAAATTGATGAGTGATCCACATTAATCGTTTTGTCTGATGAAATTGAGGCTTCTTTTTTCCAATTTAGGGAAGAATTTTCAATATTTACGGATCTCGCATCTAAATTTAGTTTGTAATTCTGTTGAACGACACATCTCGAAAATATCACGTCTTGATCAGTAACAACTAATCCGAGTTCATCGCAAATTTTCAAATCCGCATATATTCCGTCCCCTTTTAATAATTTATTGACGTCATTAATTTTTCTTGTCTCTATCTGTAGAGTATTAAACTTGTGATCAGCAGCTAGTGTCCCATTCTTTTTTTTGTAAGCTAAATTAATACCACCTTGACTCTCAATTTTACCAACGACTGACTCAATTTTACCAGTAGCGACCAAATTTTTCGCTTGTACTTGTAAGTTATCGGATGTGATGTTTCGAAGCTGTACATCGTTGGACGAATCGAGGGTAGTATTCTTCGCATCCAATGTTGAGACTTTGATATTTCCACTTTCCATGTTAACAGTGTTACCCTTTATGTTTTCTGCCTCGACAGATTCACTTGCACTCACGTCTAACGTTTTTGTGTTGATGTCCGTAAGTTTTGCTTTCTTGGTCTTAAAATGTGCGTGGTCGGCATTAATATTTTCCATGTCTAATTTTTCTGAATATATCACCATTGCTACTGCTTTCTTTTCTCGTTTACTCATGACAACGTCCTTTGCACTAGCCAAGAAATCCATAGCAAATAGGAAACCTTCGTCACAAAGAACTTCCACAAACGCAGCCTCATATAAAGCGTCGGTGAATGTAACACCTTCACCAAACGAGAAAAATCCAGATTCAAAGATTCCTTCCTTTTGTTCACTTTCCATTTTAGGATCTGAAAATCCAAGCTTTTGTCTCACTGATTTCTTTAATTTTATTACTCTTCTTTTCCCCAATTGACGTAGCTTTCTGGCTCTCTCTGGAACTTGTAGTAATTTCTCCTTCAAAATGTTGATCTTCGTGTAACGTTCGCTCTCGATAGTGAGGATATACACCAGTTTCGTTGCATCGAACGACCTGATTCCATTTTTCAAAATCTCCTCAACAAAATCGTTGACCATGTTATACATCCGAGCAATCCTTAAATCAACTTCTGTGCCTTTTACTAAATTATTCGAATTCATCAGAGTTTTTAATTTGGACGAATCTTGTTTGCTACCATCGGGGGTTATTTGTGATTGAATGCTTCTTAGGGATTCTGCTGCCTTTGACCATGCGTCTACAATCTTTGAATCTGGCGTGCAGGTCACGTGGGTGAGAAATTTAAACAACAACACACTTAAATTTTCGTATCTCGTACGTGATCGAAGAGATGATCCACCAAGAAAACAGGCGATGCTTTCTAACTTGAGCCTTTTATTGCCAACTAATTGGCAACGGGTGACGTCATTCACATCGGCGATTGATTCACCCGGGAGACTCAACAAAAATGGTGCCTCGAGATACGTCGTCTGGGCACGACAAATTCCGCTGTTAATTAACGTTAAATCAGACTTAAAGGAAATATCCGAGGACTCAATTTCAGAATCAATGGTACCACAGTTTATTATTGCCCATGGTTCAATATTCAGTGTTTGAAATTCGCAAATTGTTCCTGCAGTAGTGATCCATTCTCCTTTTATGTCAATTTCTTCACATGAAATTCTGCTTTCCTTAGAAAATGCCATGTTGACTAAAGCATTCAAATTGAGAGTTTTAACCTCAGATAAACGTCCTGAAACTTCGATGTTGTCACTTGTAACATTTAGAAATGATTCTGTTTGTCCTTTAGTTGAACCTTTTAAAGTAACATAACCATAACCATTTTCATTGATAGTTTGTAAAAGGAGTTCTTGTTCTACTGTTATACTTCCTGCTTCTTCTTGAACAAACGACCCACCAATGAAGATTGCAACCGGACCAACACATTCAACAGAACCCTTTACACTGAAGGTTTTTTCTACTTTAACTGAGGATTTCATCTCTTTGTCGTTTTTCCCGATGCATTTCATCTGCCCCTCATCTTCAATGTTTAGATTTTTCGCGTCAAGTTCAATGCACTCGATGTCTGTTTTTATTGTTGCGATTTCACAATGTAGAACTGCTTCAGTGCAACTCAGGACGTTTTCAGTTCCAAATATAATTTCATGAACTGATCCATCAACTTCAAGAGTGTTAAACACAGTTAGGTTATTTGAACCCTGGAATAAGATGTCTTCTTTCTTTGAAATGTCCGACTCGGGTGCATTCCCAGCGCAAAGATAAAGATATTTTGCTTTAATTGAATCCTGGATTATAAATCTTGAGGGGTTTTCATCATCATTGTTGTCCTCAGTCTGAGTAAAGGTAACACAAACAGCTTCCAACTGACATTCTTTCATTACAATCAGACACCTCCGCAGGCTAAGAAACACGACAGAACGATTACCATTGTTCTCATTTAACAAGTCGTCGGGAATTTCTGGACGTAGGACACTTGATTCAATTCTTAGAAAGGCCTCTTTACATTCCACTTCGAAATGATCCGGTGGAAAAAAATACTGGAGATCTTCACGCTTTCCACCAATTATAGCTAGGTTAAGCTCTTCTTTTGATTTTGAAGAAATAGAAAGTTGTTTGTCCGCCAGAATTTGGCCACACAATGTTGTCGCCCCGGGGAAATTGGTAGAAATATTTAGACTGGGTGATGACTTTATAACACCATTTTTATTAGACACAGTCATGGCATTAATGATCATGTTTCCTTCTGATTCAATTATGCCAGAGTTGAAGACGTCTTTGTCACATTCAATTTGAAATGAGCCCGAAGGATGGTCACTTGTGAATAGTTTTAAAACGCCGTTGTTTTTAAAAGTCTCGATATAGATGTTTAGATCTGAACTAAAAACCTTTAAAATCCCGTCAACAACAAGAGATTTCACACAGTAGATATAAGTTGTTAAGATACGAGTGTCAGTGCATTGTGTTCCTTTGTCTTCATTCGGTTTTGTTCTTATGATTGTTTCACCGCTGACTTCCAGAGAACTTGTGATCACCTCAACTTCATCTGAACAAGTGATTTCAGCAACTCCACCAGAAAGAACATGCATACTCGCTGTTTCTCCTTTGATTCCACAAGCACTAAGTTTTCCAGACACGACAAAATTAGCACTTTCACGTTCATTTTCCGCCCACATGGTTATGCTGCTATCCTCTGCGAGAAGAATTTGTGTGGTAACAAATTGTGGAGCTTCTCCAAAGAACTCTAAATGAACTTTCCTTGCGACACAATATGCATCGCAAACAACTCGCTCTTCTACTTGGATAAAGAGATTACGATGAACGTAAACATTTCCAAACCAACTTTCTTCAACTTTCTTATGCAAGGAAACAAGAAGATCTTCATTGCTAACGATGCTGGAATCTCTTCCTTGTTTTAAATAACCAAGGTCTAAAACGAGACTTTTATCGCTGACGAAGATATTATTATTTTCAAACTCCTCGACAGTGATTACCGTACCACCTTCTGTAACCCAAACAGTTGATGTTTGAAAAATACGAAAAGCACCAAGCACGCAAAGTTTGTTTAACTTTGTAATAATAGCATTATCGTAGAAAAGAAAGTTTCCTTTTACAAAACCAGATAATTCCCCACATTTCCATGTCCACGGTTTCACGACTCTCGCGGTTCCTTCCACTTGCAAAATTAATTGATTACTTTGCAGCTGCGAGCAATCATCTAAATCTTCTTTAACAACACACTTGATGGATGTTGAAGAAATTACACCATGTTTCCATTTCCAGGTCTCAAAACCTCTACGTATCAATTCCTTCTCTCCTTTGTCTCTATCGTAACTTACGCTACTTCCTTGTCCAAATATATTCTTTAATTCATTGTAGATACCAAAGCCATCAACTGTGACCGTTGGATCCACCTCTTCGTTTAAAATGGAAATAAATCTTTTTGAGTCAAGATTTCGGACAGTTGAAAGCAAGCGAGAATCATTAAACGAGGATTCTGTTTTTGGGTTTTGTTGCGCATTCGACAAATATCCAGATTCTTTTTGCAATTCAGTGAAGCTGAGAAATCCCCTCGTGGCTGTATCGTACTTGGAAGCTTCACATAGAAGTAAATTATCGCATAGCAATAGTAAATACTCTTTAGCATGGATCTTTCCAAAGTTTGTCAAATTTCCGTTCACAATTTCCAGATATAACGTTTTTGTTTCAGTATTGGTATTCCGTGCACAAGATGTGCATGATTTATCTTTTTGTTTACAGCCTACTGCCGAGGCGATTGTGCTACTCTCTTCAACTGATTTTTTTGTTTCACTTTTCTGTTCCAGAGTCGTTGTTGGGAGCTGTGAAATGTCCTTATTATCATCTTCGATCTCATTTATTTCTGTTGTTTTGAAATCCTTCGTAAGGTGTGTGCAATTGGACTGAATTTTCTTTCCTAGAATGCCATTTACGCTTACATGCAGATTGCCGGATAGAACTCGAAAGTTTAAATTGTAAGATGAAGAAGGACATGTTACTGTGCCATTCAGGAACACATTTGAGCCATTTTCGAGGTATGCTGTGAGGCATCGACATCTTATAAGCGCCCCAGTATTCACATACACATCGCTACGGCCTGAAACTCCTATAGTGAACGCAAATTATGCAATTTTGAAGCCGATATATATGATAGGCGTGAAGAAACGTTTTGGAAATGTAGTGGAAATTCAGCACGGTATTTATATGAAATTTGAATATCACTTCAACATCTCTTTTCATTGATTATACTCAACCGTATGTATATTTTATGATTAGCTTTTGCCCGTATAATATAATTTTCATAGATCAAGCAATGATCTGCGTGGAGGTGAGATTTCCGCAGGTAAATTTTTGACTATTAGGTACACACGAGTAAAGTAGAAAACGGCCATGAAATCGAACCTTTTAGTTCTGTTTCTATCTCCTGTTGCTTAAGTTTTACATATTTTATTAGGCGACAAATAAATGAACCCTAGCATTATGTCGATTGATGCTTTAGAGGAAATACCATATAGGTCGAAATTATAATCTAGTTATACGAGAAGTGGCCTTCTCGCATTGTATTATATTATTCAATACTTCGCCTGCACGCATGCTATACGAGGTGTTATAAACATATAATATCCATGCAGCAATTAGTAATTTTTTTAAAAAATCATATAAAAGGTCGCCGGAAGTTTTTAGACACCTTAGGCCTCCCTTTTCCCGTTGCCTCTGCACGACAAAAGATTTCGTTTATTGATTGATTTATAGTACGTTTATTGAGGTTCATACCTTCTGATGACGTCACACTGATGTCGAGTGATTTCACTTGAAGTGGGTGAGAGGATATTCCCACAGTGCCAATCGAATTGAGATGGAGGCTCACTCCAGTAAATGTCTTATCCAGTTGTGAGTTGGTAACTCGGATATTTGGCCCATTGAGAGAGAATTTTGTTAGACTTTTAAAAGTGCATTTAAGCAGAGTTGTCGTGATGAAATCACGTTCAGGAACAATAGAAATCTTTATCGTGTCATTCTATAAAAAATATTATCGTTTCATTGATCACTATGATATCGGTAAATAATTTGTTCCAGTTTAATATCTGACTTTTTGTCTAAATGCATCTGCAACAGAGTTTCTCTCAAGTTCCCTGTTTACAAGGGATTAACCCATCATTTTCGCTATAAGGAAAGCTGCATGGTCGTGTCAAATCAGCTTCACTACTACCACTACCACCACTACTTTTAATACTGGCTATAGTACTATTAATTCTACTGCTACATAGCTCTATATCATGCGTTTTCATGCGTCTTGACCCACTCGATACCTATTGCCGGCATTATGAAATTAACATTAAAAAAATATAATATATAAACCTCTTTTTGATTGATTAACTTTAATAAATAGGGTTTTCCAAACCCTGGATTATTGTGCAACAAATCAACACTCCAGGTACCGACATTTCTTTGAAGTCGCACGTTATGCGCATGGTCAGAACCAACAGGAATGATAACGGTTATATTACTTTCTGATACTTCAAGGTTGACGCTAGATTCACCAGGAAGGATTTGAACGACAAATGCATCCATTTACGCCAACAACAAAGCCTTTCTGTTAATTGTTTTCCTGAATGAAATAATTTTCATAAAAGCATGCAAAGTTTCGGTTTGTCAGGATTAGTTATATCATAAAATTATAATAAGCCGAACACACAATTTGCAAACAAAACGTCACACTTGCATGCGAAATAGAATTCCTCGATACACTCCATTCCACATTTTGTACGTCAGATAACCGGCTATTTTCATATTCACGTGACGCCTGTGAATATGAATGTGAATGTGAAAGCGAACTAATGCCAAACCGTAGAGCTTGTAGTTGTTAATTGAAGAGTTTCAAGAGTTTTTCACGGAACTCGTTTACTTAGAGTCTCAGAGTTCATAAACAGTAATTTAGTATATTCCAGTTAAGAACAGGGTGTTACTGCAACGTATCACAGCTTCACTCAAGTTCCTATATACTACAGTTCGCTTTGCATGCAGTGACGATCTTTATACAACCTAGCTATGAACGCATTTATAGTAGGTTCAGCATGCACCAACCGCCCCCCATCATCAAATCTTCTGCTACCGCAATCACCTTATCGAGTTATCGTCAACAAAGTCTTGAATTTTACTCACTAAATACCGGGTGTCCCAAAAAAAACTTTACCTGTTTGTCTTAATATAACTCAAAAACGATAAAAGCTATTGAGTTGAAATAAACTCCACTGCATGCAAGCAGGGCTAACTTAGATTTTGATATATAACACTAAATTATTGATGCGATATTTACGGAGATACAAGCATTTGATGTCGCAAGGTACTTTCAAAATCTGTGCAAAATTGACAAAAATCGGCTATTAAATTAATTCGAAACTAATACTTTAACTTTTACGTTTTTAACTTTAGTGATTTTAACTTTAAATGTACGCTTTTCCATTGCAAACTTACTCTTATATAAGAGCGAACAATTAAAGTTAAAATCGCTGAAGTTAAAAACTTACCACGGGAAGTGGCATGCAAGTATTTTCGAATTAATTTAATAGCCGATTTTTGTCAATTTTTCACGGATTTTGAAAGTACCTTGCGACATCAAATGCTTGTATCTCCGTAAATATCACATCAATAATTTAATGTTATATATCAAAATGTAAGTTAGCCCTGCTTGTATACGGTGGAGTTTATTTCAACTCAATAGCTTTTATCGTTTTTGAGTTATATTAAGACAAACAGGTAAAGTTTTTTTTGGGACACCCGGTATAATTTAGGATCTGATGCCAGTTGTTCAAAGCTGGGTTAGCGCTAAATTTTAATCCACTGCATGTTTCGGTTTAAATGCTTCTGGACCGTCGTCCATTTTAAAACCTTAACAATAAAATATGACTTTTGTCTGTCCAGAAAGTATTTATGGAAAAAGAAATTCAACTTGGTAAGCAAACGATTAAAAAATTGATGTAAGGATTTCCTTTAACCCATGCATGTATGCAGGGTTAAGCTAACGGCTTTTTTGAACAACCGGCCCCTGCTGTCTTGCTTGTTATCTTAGCAGCAGTGAGTTACGCTAGATATACACAGCCAGCACTAAATGACTACGTAGCGAAAATTTAAGTGATAGATAATAAAATGTAAAACTTTCGTTTTCAATTTCCCTATGTCTACATGTGCCTGGTTGCTTCGAGTGATTTCAAAATAATAGATGGCCGGCAGTCTGGCCTTTTAACCGCACTAACCTCCACACTGGACACCAAAAAAAAACATTTAGAAATTAATAAATGAGCTTTATGTTAATAAGGATCTATTCTATATAGAGCAACTGCCGCCGGTATTTAGTTCGAAAATGAATTTGGTTTCACGAATTGGCGCTGCGAACGAGGTCCGTGGTGCAAGACAAAGACAACACAGTCACAGATAAATGAGATAATCTTACGGACTTACCTTGCTAAACCTTGCTAACGTTATTTTACAATATCATGCAGCGACACCTTGGGTGATCGGATCCTCTCTCGAAGAACGTAAAGTGTAGAATGAGAAATTGAAAGTACGACGTCAGTTAATATTGAGAGAAGTGCCTTTTCATATTCAGATTTACTTTTATTTTAATGACGTTTCCAAGAGAACCTTCGAACAGCATTCCAAGAACGAGAACCTTCGAACAGCATTCCAAGAACACAGTTTTGCTGCGACGCGACTAATGAAGATTGCAATTGTTTATTTTAGAAAAAATTATGGATGAAATATAGATGCATCATTTGGTAAACGTATAGCGAATGGTACTGACCTAAGAATGTGAAATTGTAAATGATGTAACTATAATCCGTTTGACTTTGGATTTTAGTCTCTCTTTTAGTTGTGACGTAATCATGCGAGGCTCTTTTTCGTATCATAACCATTTCTGTGTATATTGATTATTTCATCGGAATTTAAGTAATAAGGAAGAGTTCTAAGAAAGCTGTATTATGTAATTACGAACACCAGGGATGATAGTGCATGGCTGCATGCACTTCTTGGAAGGTTGTGTGGTTATATAGCAAGTAAGCATCTGGTCACAATTGCAAGAAGCTCAGAGTACAGAATACACAGGATTCCGGGGAAACCCGTACAAACGCGTTTTGTTGAAAAAATCAGAACCAAGCACCATCACATTTTTGTTGTTTCCTTGCCGGCACCATTGATGGAATTTGGCTATTTTTATGCAATCCGACGATTATTAGTTCAATTTTAACTATGGTTAATAATGTTTGACACCAGGACTCTGCCTAAGGACTAAGGTTTAGGATCACAATGACGTCATCAGGCAAAACGAACGTCCGTGATGCACGCAAGCCTCAAACATTCGTAGACACTGAGGGTAAATTTAAGGGTGAACAACTGAAAAATTCAGCATTAGATTTGGCCATTGAAGAAATTAACGTTCTGGCAGCTATTTGAATCACACTTTATTAAAATTTATATTTCAATCACACTTTATTAAAGTTCAACTATTCAATCACACTTTATATATAAGACATTTCATGATATTAACTACATACATATATAAAGACACTGAATTTATCGTTTAGTATACATGTTGGTGTTATCTTTGTTAATTCATATTGTTCATTGATTCTGGCTCACAATTTATCAATTACAACTTCTTGTATACTTCATAATCTCAAATTTACATATGATCCCAAAAATATTACTATCAAATGAAAATTGTTTTTTTGTTGTTAATATACTGAGAATAACATAAATGAAATAAACAAAACATCGTAATCAAAGCCGATCATATGTGATGTGCAGATGAAGAGACATTGGTTGATTTTCTGTTGCCATATATAACTTGTATTCCATCTTATTTGTACCAAGGCTCTTGTAAACACGTTCAGTCTAAAATGGTCAAAAAAGAAGCGAAAGCAAATTTATGCATGGCTCAATTCCCCTTAATTTATCCACGGGAAGACATCAGAGCGGCAGGGCCAAAACTAGATAATTAGGGGGGGGGGGATATTCATAAATTCGTTCTGCCGACGAAATACGGTATTTGCGTCATATGATTTGCGTTCTCTAAAGAAATCCGTCGGGCGGAACAGAATTACCCACCCCCCAAAAATTTCGCGTGAATGACATTACTTAATGTTTCGATCTATAAACCTTACAAACAAGAGTAAAATAAAATCTAGACCCTGCCTATACCCCAGTCCTATTTTATTTTAAAAAGCAATAAAACGTTTATCTCGCGGAGACTATTTTGAATCTAATTTTATAGAATTAAACACCAGCATTTTTGGCGACTGGAAAAACATTTCATTTTTGGAGTAATATTGAAATCCCTTCACAGAGAAGAGTAGCAAAATTGGCACTGATTTCTTATACACAGCCAGAAACGCCGCAGACCTGTTGCAAATTGCGCATTTCTGGCTGTGTATAGTGATGTTCAGTGATCAGGGTTATCATGCATACCCAGGACTAACATGCTTTATGTAGTAACACCAATTAAAGTTTCACTGGCAGAAAAATCTGATGAAAAGTTTTCATAGGATGTCAATTCTTTAACACAAACAAAAGGTAATTATGCACGAATGTTCAACTGGTAATTTTGCTACCAAGACCAGCCTTGTAATATATAGGCACACTATACAGGTGTGATCAGTGCATGGCTATGCTGAGCAAGCTTACTGCTATAACATGTGGAGATGAGGCAAATGACATTCTTCCAAGGGATGAACTGAATAAATGGATTTCCTTTTCATCATTTGTTTCACCTTCTACTACTTCTGTCATTCCTAAAATAATCATTACATATTTGCAATAAGTAAATATGTCAAACCAAGGATGCACATGAACATAAATATAAATTACTTTATGCACTGCATACAATTGATTAACTAATGCATACTTACTTTTTGTTGACAGTATTCTATTTTGTGAGCCACAATTGTAAAGACTTACCAAAATTGTGTGAAAGGAGAAAAGCAAAAGTTTTACTATCTGGTTTGAGGCGTATAAAGCCACTTTCCCAATGCATTGGCTGTGTGTGATCTGTGTTCCAGCTCTTTGATCTACACAGTATACATTTACATTTGTTACATGATAAAACAGAATCTTGTATATAAAATAAAACACATATATAAAATAGTCGCATACTTGTAATCTATAAATGGAATTCCATCATTTGAAAACTCAATTTCTTCAAGGTATTCAAAAGGTTTTTCAATTGTTGGGTAAGTGCCAATTCCTTTCCCTTTCCATATTCCAATCAACCATGATAGCTAAAAATGAAATGAGAATTCAGTTGCCAAGCTAGTTTTATACTTATTCCACTGATAAATCTTTCTATCCAGATTTTTTTCAGCTTTTTTATGCATCAAGTTGAAGCCTGAAAATATGTGTCGGGTTTAAAGCTACAGTTTTTTTTGGAGATGATGAAATACTCATTTTAATATGTATGCTGTGACCTAACCAGGGTATTTTGTCAGTTCTGTGCCCCCACCACACCGGTCCACACCTTCACCCTCGCTATTTTCTAACCCACTTTCTCAAAATTATATTATAGATATGTAAATATTGTTATAGAATTTGTACCCACAAATGCGTACCACCCACTAAAATAAATTCATAGAGAATGCAAGTTTACCTTGTTTCCTGGGCACGCAGACATAATCAATTTGTTTAACTTTGTAAAAAGAAATATCGATTATCGAATTATTCGTGTAATTTCAATTTCGCGTGGGCGTCACGACATCACACGACACGCGCAAAACACGCGCGATGTTATCATATTTCATATTCATAAACCAACCAAGTTAACCAACGGAAAAGCGAAAAAATGGCGGTAATTTTGTAAATATAGTTTGCATTTTTTATTATTCGTCTGAAACATGCCAATTTTGACGAAATATAACAGTACATCCAAGAGTAAAAGGAGAGGATGTATTGAGGAGGAGACACCAATAGCTCCGAAGGAAAGAAAGAAGGTGGGCTGTGAGCATATCACTTATATTTTTATATACAGTAATATTACTAATATATTTTGGTTTTATACGTCGTGAAATTGTAAATTTATGATGTTACTTGAATTTTCGAATGGACATTTTTTCGAATGCTCGACCATTTTGGGTAATATTTTTACAGTGGTACTCTTATTTTAGTATTTTCTATTAAAAATATTAGATATACAGTGAATATCTAGATATATGAATATTTTGGCTTATGTCATATCAATATTCCTAGCATCTGCTGTACTATATATAGATATATATATATACAAAATCTCAAATTTATAACTTTATGTGGTATGTAACTGGTATGTAGTCCACCCATGACCCATAGGCTTCCTACATTTCATTAGGTTTCTGTATATTAATGCAATACAATTGGCAGCAAATAGTCAATACAGGCAACACTATAAACCAACATGAAATTATGCAGGTTAGCAAACACATAGATTTTATACAAGAAGTATTTTAAAAATAATGTTACAGTTTTATAAGCCACTTTGGGCTAATTTCGACTAAAACTGTTGCTGCTTGTAACATTTTTTCTGCAAAATAGACATATATGTATATTATTTTTCTCTGGAGTATATGTTTTCTCCAGGCAAGCGAGATAGAGAGAAGAGAGATTAAGATACCCCGGTTTTGGTATACGGGTACGGGTAGCCATATTTTACTCATTGGAATTTCTTGTTGTTTGCACGTTTCATGATACAAATCATGCTTACCTCAAGAGGCTAAAGTCTACTGGAAATAAATTGTTGAGGTAATCTTCGATAAAATTGAGAAACAACGATGGAAATTGAGTGAACAAAATAAGGCTACCCGTATACCGGAATCGGGGAATCTTAATCTCTCTAGAGAGTAGAGCAAGGTAAACCTGTGCACCTTAAAAAATAATTTTCCTAGCTTGCAAATAGACTGCTCTGTGATGCTCTGTGATGAAGCCAATGAAGTAGAGCATTTTTCAGTCAAAGCATTTTGTGCATCAATGAAAAAATGATCAACAAATTTTATAGAGTAACTATACTAGCCTCAGTTTGTAGAACTTGGTCTGGGGAGTTAAAAAGCCAACAGGCAGTAGGGTTTCTAGACAAGCTCAGACAAGTATATATATACTGTCTAAGAAATCGAAGCATATAGCGTACGTAACGTAGAGTGTTTCTATGTTTCCGGAGTATTTGACCAGAAACAATGAGATAAGCTACGTTTTGCTACGATACTGTTGAAGTGGAAAACAGGATTTATAGTAATGCATATAATAATAGCCGGTATGCAAATAAGATGATCATCCGGGTTCTGCCGTAATATGCCAATGCCCTTGGAAACGCGTTAGCAACCGGTAATAATATGGAATCAAAGTACTCTTCCCTGTTTCTGTAGTTATTAACGCAAAGACGGAGTGAATTTAATTAATAAAATGCCTAAAGTTTGCTCGGTTCCGCAATGTGGAGCTACTGCTCGCAACGCTCGCGACAGAAGTTTTCATCAATTTCCGCAAGAAGCAAGTTTGAGACGTGCTTGGATAAAACGACTAGGATTGGGAAGGGGAAATTTTCAACCGAAGAATAACTCTTCCGTTTGTTCACATCATTTTGGAGAAGAACACTTTAGACAACCAAACAACGAAACTCCTGCACAATTTAGAAAGGCAAAATTGAAACTAGGAAGCTTGCCAACTTATAATTTGGTAAACTTCCCAGAATCGTTCGTCTCGCCTTCCGGAAAGTTTAATAATTGCTTGTGTGAAGAAAAGAAATATCATAGCCGAAATTCTCGACGGAAAATCGTAAGAAAGGTCTGTTTTTACTGTAAGCATAACTTCTAATAGTCTTTCATCTTGCACTAACATTGTAGACGTAGTGTAGTGTATATATAGCGCTATTTAAGATGAACTCCATAACATGTAGATAAATAAAAACAAATACCATTCAAAGTGAAAGAGCGGTAACAAGGGTCTAACAATGGTTAGCTTAGAGTAACTAGTACTGCCTCGGGATAGGAATTATTCCCGCCTTCTCGACCCGCAGTATAAAATAACTCATAAGCAAAATTCGCTCGGGCGCTTCAAATGATGGCTAGCCCAGTGGTAGTGCTTGGGCAAGCTGTGCCGTTCGTGCATAGCGCTAGTTACTTTGCGAATATTTTGTCTGTTAAGAGTCATATTATATGAAGCAATATTTAAGGAATTCAAACCATATTGTCTAAGTAATAAGCATAACGATTTTGGTATATAAAGATAAGTAAGAGCCGTTTCAGACGTCAAACTTTGTGACTTGTTGCTAACTTTGTCACTTGACACTTGTCAGTGCTAACTTGTTAGCTAGGTGAAGGATTTACATTAAAGAAACTAAGCTACAGTTGATATGTATACGAGATCGATATACGTGTCTCCGATATACAAGCCGTACATTCCTAATAGAATATTTCAAACAACGTTTTCTGAAATTATCAGGGATGAAATCAGTACACTATAGCTACATGTAATTTTTATATAAATATACATTGAACTTATCTCGGTAATGCCTTCATTGGTGGTGTACATATTTTTACGCATATAGGCCAAGAAACGAAAACTAGACGCCGAATTTCGCACACAATCTCCCAAATCTCACGAATCTCCCAAATCCAAGAATGAAGATTTACAACCCAATAATACGGCTATGGAAAGAAACTCAGTTTCTGTTTTGGTTATTCCGGATGAAGATATTCCCCCTGAACGATCATCCTCGCCACCCGACGTGAGTAAGTCTCGTAGGAAAGCTCCACGTTCACAAGTTCGCAAAGTTGTGAGAAATGACTTGCAGAATGAAGAGACAAATATTTTACAAATATTGGAGTCCGAATCAACTCTGAAGGAACGTTTTCAAGAACCCAACAGTAATAAAAAGCAAGAAGATGATCAAGATCTGAGTGGAAAATGTCCAGTTTCACCATCAGCACAAAATGGAGACTCAAGTTTACAAACTTTAGCAAGTGAAAAAGAGCATGGATGCATTACTGCAAACGAAGCAAATGAAACAACGGTATGTTATTGATCGACTAAAATACATAGACGTACTTACCGCGTGCATGCGTGGAAAATAACTAGAGAAATATTCTAACTATATAGAGAGTAATTCTGCATGATAAGCCAAATGCGGATTGACGAGCACGGTTGTATATAAGGGTCTGTTTACATGGAGCGAGTTATCCCGGCTAGGCGAGGTAAAAAGCGCATGTAATGAGAGACTAATCAGGTTAAGCCTTTGATGTGATGCGTTTTTTACCTCGCCTTTACTTCACAATGATTTTGATAGCTGAAAATCCATTTTCTCAAAGCTCAAAAATCACACCCCACATTTACCCAGAACCAACGTTGAGACATGGGAGTGGTCGATCTGCATACACACGCCAGATTTTCAAGAGTCAGATAAAATATTGTTAGCAATTCGTGCTGGCTGTCCGCATTTATGTTCGGCATTGTTCGTCTTCTGCTATAGGATATATACACCCTATAGACTTAATATGCCGTATACAAACCTTCAGATATGGATTTTTTAACTGGTAAACAATTGAAAGTGGATCCAGTGTTGACAGTTGTTTATGTAAAATGTTTTCAGGGTATTGAGGAAGACTACCAACGGAAATATTTCCAGCTTTTAAACACGATGAATGAACTTCAGGACAAATTTTTAATTTCTCAAAGAAACTTCGAAGACCTGGTTAAAGGTACGTCAGTATATTATGGCGCATATTTTGTCGACAATATGTCTATTCATTGTCAACAAGTGAAAAATACACTTTGATATAAGATAAACCACCCGATTATACTGTCAATTCCGAGTGCACCGCCGTATTCTAACTCCATGTTAAAAATGAATTTTTTACAGCCAGACTTTTGAATCTTTCCCAATTCGTGCGGAAATCCCTCCATAAATGCCAATCAAATGACCTTAGGTTTCTATAAAAACTTGAGATTTTCTCGTAGGTTATCGATCTTCCCGTATTTGACAATGAATAGGGACCTTAAGCATGTCGGACGGGAACACGACGACGACGTGGCTGGAATACTTCTTTAAATAAATGTTATGATAAAGCGTTGTTGTATATTATCAACCGTACCAATTTAATCAGATACAAGACGTTGAAAACATTGTGTTTACGTTTAGGGACAATTCTATCGAGCCTAATTCGAGGTAGCGCTTACTGGGCCCTGCAATGCAGACGTTCTACATAGGACGTAATAAACGACGTTTTGCCGTTGTAAACAGAACGTAGATCACGTCTAAAACTCCCATAGGTATTTAGTAATTCATTTCTTTTCAATGAAGCATTGTATTGATAGCTACCGTCGTCGTGTTCCCGTCCTACATGCTTAAGGTCCCTATTGTCTTCAGCCCCGTTTATACTTTATACTATTAAATGCAGCGAGGGAAGACTTTATAGAAGAACTGAAAAGTCAACTGGAGAGCAACCATCAAGAAATTGCTTCAATGCATCAAGAATTAGAGACGAGAAACGATAAAATAGCTGAGTTTGAGAAGGAAAGAAAAACGTACGAAGATAAAGTACAAAACTTGGACAAGAAAGGTAAATAAAAGTGGCTTGTACAAAAATGTCAAAAATGTTTCTAAAATGAAAAATAATGGAACTTGTGTTTTTTACAGACACTTTTTACAGACATAAAAGCAATCATGCCCATGCCAAAATTTAAAAATTACGTCATTTCAGATACTGGCAGGGGGGTGATTGCCTCTATTTACGGTACTTGTTGAGTGGCGAATATGACAAATCACACTTATGCAAAAAACAATGGAGTTGTCTTTCTGATGGGTATTCTGTGGTATTGTACACTTGAATTAATAAGTGTTTGTTATTGATCTAGTGGAGGAGATGAAAATGAAGGGAAATGAAAGAGAAGTGAAGGATCGTGTTCTGAATGAAGGAGCAGAGGAACTACAGGTAGCGTGTTTAATCCTTTAGGTTGATAGAGCTCACTAACCTGATAATACACCGGATATATGTGGCAGATATACCTATTACATAAAATAATTTTTGAAAAAATGAATAAGGTTTATGCCTTACCAATGTGCGTGCGTATTTCTTGTGCGTATTTGCACGCGTGAACGTCGTTGTGCTTATTGTAATCCACCTTTATTGTAATCCACCTTTGAGCTGATAAGCTCTTGATATCGAAGAAACTAGTATTGTTTCGAAATATCAAAAACCCGCAGTTGGCCATGTAGCTCAGTTGGTAGAGCATCGGACTAGTATACCGAAGGCCGCGGGTTCAAATCCTGCCGTGGTCAAGTAGAATTTTCTGCTTGCCATGGCGGGCTGCCACTCGGTGTCATCCTACTACAAAAAGATATTCCTCCTTGTTTACCCAAGAAAATAGATTAAAAGATCGACTCGTATATCAAAAGTGAAAGCAATCATATTGTGTTTTAGCGAACCCTTGGGAAACAACAGGAGGTCCTGGAATTCTATAAATTACTTACAAGTGTAACTGTGGAGAGAGTGACGGAAGATGAAAATGAAGAAAGACCAAGAGTTTATGATAGGTTTCGATGTTCTGTGAAAACAATGCAGACGCAAGGTATGACATCAATGGCATCAATTGGATTTTTCTCGAACATTTTTGCGAGGGTTGGTTTTTTTTCAGCGATCATAAAGCTTGAGTGATTTAATTATTCCTAAGTAGCTAGTGCGCCTTGGTGGAAATCGAATTGAGGCGTTTGGTATAGTCGACACTCTTCGAAGGGTGGTCAACAGTTTTTTTATTCAACTATTTTTCCTTGACAATTCTTCTAGTTGTAAAATTAGTTTCATGATAGGTTTTTTACACCATCGTTCTTTTAAATTATTATTCTAGGACCTAACTTTTTATTTCGTAATTTGTTTACACCGTCTTCGTAATCTCAGGTTTCTCTCTATATAAATGAAATTACTATAGATTTATTCTAATAGATAAGACATCGGATTCTTATTTTGTACTTTATGTTGTTTTTCTAGAGTTACAATTTCTGCTAACGCATGACCATGAATTTGCAGAAGTGGAGTACATGCCATTAGATTTGGATACAGTGAATTCCACATTGCCCAATTACTTAAAAGAACAGATTTTCTTTGAAAGTGATCAAGGACCAAACTTTTTATGCAAACTAATAAAGTCATTTCAAACATCCAATGGAGATCAATATTCATAATCTTGTGACTGGATAACTTTTAGCATTACATTAGCTTGACATACTTCTATGTGTTGTGTTCATGGTACCATTTTTAACAAAGCTGTTGTAAAAAAAAGAGTTCGGAGTTTTTTTAATCCTAATACTTGGGCCCGAAATAGAAAAATATTCATATTGAATTTATAACTCAAATAATCATTCTTTTCCCTTTTAGTCCATATTCGTTTTGCCTCTCAATTTTTTTTCTTGTGTCGAAATATTTTTCGGATCAAATATTTTTTCGTGTCAAATTTTTTTTTGTGACCAATTTTTTTTCCAGCCAAGGCTTTTTTCTTTTCTGTCCATATTCCTTTTTCCTTATGACAAAGCACTTAATGTACACTCAGACTCTTGGGAAAATAAAACTCACTATTTTCCTCGGAAGTGTATAATATTTCAGCAATTAGCATGGATAGTTAGAAGACTGTGTTGCAGTAAAAGATAGTGGAACTGCGGAAGTGAGTGAAACAACTTATGAAAGTTAAAACATGAGTGATCACGTGGTATGTGCGTGAGTTCAATGACACATTTCTGAATAATTTATTTCTTCAAGATGGCGAATGATCGAGTTTATTCAACTCAAAATACAACATATTTAGCGAGTGGAACTAGTTTTTCGTCGCCAACAAGACCATTTATCGGTGGTTATGATGTTGAATTTGTTTCTGCCATTCCTCCGGATTACATATGTCCTATATGTCAACTAGTTTGCCGGGATCCAGTGCAAACCGCTGAATGTGGTCATCGATTTTGTGAGAGCTGTTTGGAGCCGATTCTGAGGTTAAGACATGTTCAATTGAGACATAATTTACCTCTGGTTTCTTAGATATTTTTTGTTTTGTTTAGAAAAAATGGTTCGTTTTGTCCGCTAGATAGGAGAGCATTGACTAGAGAAAAGGTTCGTTTTATCAGTTGTGGTATTTATCATGGTTTTAATTCCAGATTTAAACATTGTTATTATTTCCCATGTTGCAATGTTAATTTTATAATAACAACTTGTATCATTTTATCATTTTTTTACTTTATTCTTTTCAGAACTTTATGCATGATTTACAATATTTCAATTAAGTTTTAAATATACAGTAAATTGAAAAATTGACAGGGCATATTAGTAATTTAAGCCAATGCCTTTTAGGCTTTTTACGTGTACCAACTCATTCACACTTGTCATGTTTGCTTTTATTTTGGATGACTTAGCACTCCCACATTCTTAGATGGCTATTATGGCATGTTTTCAAGCATACTTTGTGAGAAACCTGGCACAAAAATTGTTTCATTTATATATAATTCCACTCCCTCAATATTTAATTGATTAATTCTGATAATATCTTGAGAAAATATCTTATTTCACTTTGTGTTTTTTTCTGCATCGCAGATGTAATAATTTTCTATAACTTTTGAGAATCCCTGATTATTTTTACTTGTTGTTTAAGCATAGATAATAAGATATTTAAAATCCAAATGTTGTGTTTTTTCAAATGCTGTATTTTAGCTTTATTTATTAAAATTATGTCACATTTGAAAATTTTTCATATAACAAGTGATTGATGGTTTGATCCCGAAATTATTAATACACTTTGCAAATAACATGTTAAAATGTACGGGTCAATTCTTGTTTGAAGGTTTATGCTGATAGAGCTTGCAAGAGAACGATTAACACTCTTGAAGTAAAATGTCAGAACTATGGTAAAGAATGTGAATGGTCTGGAGAATTGGCAAACCTACCAGTAAGTAATTTGTCTTATCAATACCACTTGTGTAAAAATGTAGGTCAAGTGGAATATCAGTACTATGAGTTGCATTCAAGTATGAAGCTTTAATTCTTTTACAGGTTTGTTTGCATTTCAATTGTGATAAAACGCAAACAAACATGTAAAAATATGAGTAATAAACATTGCGTATGCTATAAACAAGCTATTATTCATACTAAACCAAATATTTCAAGCTTTAAGCAATTTTGATTAATATGGGTGTGTATGGGACATACATTAGCATATTCCTTTGCCCATTGTTAAAAGTTTAACAAAATAAATAACTTCTAAGTTATGTGCAGATAAATAATAAATAATATATAACTTTTCAAATGTGAAATAGTCTATATTTGTACCTAAATGCAATGGTAGTAAATCACCAAAGTACATCAGCTCTTCCTAGTTGTCCGAGAATGTGGTTTCATGTGGTTATTTCTAGCCACTATCTATGGCATGAAGAAGGTTTGGTCATAGGAGTTTTAATGTTAAAGTTTCATTTTCTTTTGTTTTTTGTAGACTCATCTAGATGTGTGTAAACATTCTCCAATAACATGTGTCAATAAATGTGGCAGAAATGATATCCCTCGTGATCAGGTGAGTACAGAATTATTCATCTATGTTGGACATTCAATCAAGCTCATATCTGCAAGAATTGCATAGATGCACAGCATATGCAAGGATTATTTAGTTGTTGTTTATTTTTTAGATGAATAGTCATACTGATGTTGATGGTGATTGTCCACTTGCAATTGTACCCTGTAAATATGGTGACATTGGTTGCAAATTTAAGGTATGATTATGTTTTAAATTGAGGGTCTCAAGAACGACTTCTGTGGTACTGAGATATTTGAACAGAAACTAATTCAAATCAATTTCGTGTTTCTGAGAAGTAAACCTAAATTACGTTTTGCAGACACGACGTAACGAACTTGAGCAGCATTTGGAAGATTCCGTCCAGGCTCATCTTGATTTGGCTCATGTGCGCATTAGAGAATTGGAAACTAGACAAGAACAGATTTGCATTGGAGGTCGCTTTTTGTGGAAAATATCAAACTACAATCAACTTTGCCAACAATCTGCCACGCGGAAGGAAAAAGAAAAATTATGCAGTCCACCGTTTTACACCGGAGAATATGGCTACAAATTACGTGCGGAGGCCTTTCTAAATGGCTTGGGTCAAGGAAAAGGATCTCATCTTTCACTTTATGTTGTGATTTTGAAGGGCGATCACGATGCTATACTACAGTGGCCTTTTAAACAGAAAGTAGATTTTGTCCTTGTTGACCAGGATAATGAATCAAGTAATCGTCAAAACAAAGTTTGGAGATTACAATGTGATCGGAACAGTGATTATTTTCAAAGACCGAATAAGATGAAAAGTCTTGGATTTGGTTGTCCAAAATTTGTTTCCCTTGAAACACTAACGACAAGAAACTATATTAAAGACAATACGATATTCATCAGAATTGATGTCGAGCCATTTGATCCATTTGCTTAGCCAATTACTGCACGTGGGATATAAACACTGAAATGTAAATATTGCAGTGGTAATTACTGTAAAAAGTCCTCATTTAGGATTGTTATCAAATGACATATAAATGACTATTAATCCTGCATCTCGATCCAGTAGACTGGTTCGGAAGTCTGTTAACAATATGTAATAACCAAGTGGGTCCAGCTCACGTTTACGAACATCTTTTGCACCAAAATCGACGGTAATTAACTTATTATAAAGTTACCCGATGCTGGTTGGTCGAGAGAAGTACAGTTATTTTCTTAATTGCACTTCTATTCATTCCACCATTACCATAAGTGATTGTGCATTGCGATTAATGAAATATTAAAAAAGGGTCTGGCAAGACTGTTTTGACCAAAAACTATCATGCTTGCATTCAAAATTATGTTCTAAAAGATCGTGGTAAACGCTACAAAGGCTTATCGACCTAAAGGCTGTTTTCCAGTTACACGTTTTTCATACGCACGTATATACACGCACGTAAAAGTCTAAATCATTATAAGACGTTATCTTTGAAAAAACTAAGTAAATAAATCGAAAGAACTTAGTTTTCCGCATAATTTAGTATGCATTTGAAGACCCAGATGTTTAATAATGAAAATTTCGAAGCATTTAAAATTTTCCGTGCGTGTACGTGCGTATAAAAACGAGTAACTGGAAAGCAGCCGTAAAGGCTGTTTTCCACTAGTTTACGCGTTTTTCATACGCGCGTAAAAGTCTAAATCTTTATACATGTTACTAAATGAAAAAATCGAAAGAGCTTAGTTTTCTGCATATTTTGGTGTGCATTAGTTGACCTAGATGTTAAATAATAAAATTTAAAAGCGTAAGTGGAAAGCAGGCTTAATAATAAACAACCATACGTGATTGCTTGTAAGACTAGGGTTAATAGTGCCCTTGACGTTTAAACATTTTGTCAAATTGGTAAACATCAAATTGGCAAACATACGGTGTACTTGCATGCCAAAGCTTGGTACCTATACGATTTTCCTGAATCAAATTTAATTAAAAATACTTTTGACATAAGAAATGAAACAAGGGATGTACCTACTTGGTGGAAATTTGCAATCGTAAAATAATTTGCAATAATACGAGCAGGGCCGCCACGAGTGGGGAGGGGGCAAAGAGGGCAATTTTTCCAGGGTTGCAAGGGCCTCCCAAACTCTACAAGAATAAAATTAAACCATTGTTGGAAGTATATAGTCCTCTTTCAGAAAACGTTTTGGGTTATTTTTAGTTTAGGTAATGCAATATATATTCGATATTGCAATCTCACCACTAAAATATAGGAAATCGCATTTTCTGCACTCTAAAACTTCAACATTTATTTGGAGGATGCTCCAAACCCCCTAATAGAGCTATACCGTGGTAAAATTTACATAAACTTACTATGACGGTTTTTGCTGCGGATTTTGGGCCACTAACGAGAATTTTGCCCCGGGCCGCTCCACAATCCATTTCCATCCAGGTGATCTCGCGCTCATATTTCAGCCAATCAGCGCTCAGAAAGTTTGTGAAAATAGAAATCCATCTTGCAGTGTTTAATCGATTATATGTTTTGTTATTCTTGATGGAACCATTCGAAATTTTGTGATTATGTTTAGTTATAAGAACTATAGCTCTGATATAAATTTGAAACCTAGATAGAGTATATTTCACGAGATATTAAGTTGTTTCAACCGAGAAATGGATTTTTATATGACAACTAGTCCTAGTCCTTTCCCGCCATTTCAGATCACCTGGATGGAGCAAGATATGCTGCAGCTCTATTTTTACGGAGTCGGTGTATTTATGTGGAGCAGGCCTGGTTTAAAGAGAGTGTACCTGTTTCTAAAGGTGTAACGTCGTGTATCTTGTGGGCCACCGTATAATCCGGACTGGCCCACTCATATGAACAGGCCCTTAGCAGATAAAGTAAAAAAATATGAGCAATTAATTAAACCTTATTACTTAGTTGTTTGAAAAGTTTGTTTCATGGAACGCGTGGTATACCAGATGAAACAGATTTCCCAATTTTAAAAATTTATACAAATTTTTACATATACCCAAATATTTTCAAAATATTTTTAAAAAATATTTTAATTTTTTGACATAAGTTATACAAATTTTTCAGAAGTCAGGAGTTTTTTAAGGAGTTTTTCTAGGAGATTTTCAAATATTTGATGAACTCCGTAACCCAAATTTTGAGCAAATGAATCACTCGATGTTTTTGGAAACGCTTCTATTGCCACGACTGTAAAATTTTGGGACACATACAGATCGAGTCCCAATATGAATGACTTGTTCATCAATTTTGCCTGTGGGGACTACAATCAATTTTTTTTTCTGTGGAGACTACAATAATTTTTTTTCTTATGTCTCATTTTTTTTCTGTCAAAATTTTTTCATATTTCAAAATTTTTCTTCTTGTGTTCAAATTTTTTTTTCCTCTCACCCTTTTTCTTGCGTTCAATTTTGTTTCCTGTGAAAATTTTTCTTCTTGTGTTCAAATATTTTTTCCTTTCAACCTTTTACCTTTCAACCTTATGTTTAATTTTTTTTTAGCCAATTTTTTTTTCTTGTGTCCCATTTTTTTTCCTTTCAAATTTTTTTTCTTTTCAAACTTTTTTTCCTCTCAACCTTTTTCTTCTTGTGTTCAAGTTTTTTCCAGCCAAAATTTGTTTTTAACTTTTTTTCTCTCTGTCTATTTTTTTTTCGTCTCAAAATTGATTTTCGTGTAGAAAAGTTTTTGTCGTGTGAAAATTTTTTTTTCCGTGTGTCCAAATTTTTTTTTCTGTCCATATTCCTCTCAATTTTTTTCTTGTGACAAAATTTTTTTTCTCTCCATATTCTTTTTTCCTCTCAATTTTTTTTCTTATGAAAATTGAAAAAAAAGCACAAGCAAAAAAATTTTAAAAACATGTGTCTTCTAAAAAGACTGAAAATTAAAAGTCCAAAAAAAATTAAAAATTTCCGGCTTTTAAAAAACTCTTGTTGACTTAACTTAATTTTTTTTTCCACTTAACCACTGGGCCGTAGGATCGGTTGTTGATAGCAGCCTTAATATATACGTTATTGAGGTAGCCCAGTGGTTAAGGCTTCGGCCTACCAGGTTGTAAGGGTAGGTTCGAATCCTGCATGGGAAAGGTTCGATTTTTCCCACCGAAATTACTATTTAATTTAAAATTTATCGAAAAGGATTAGGTCGATTAGAGAACAATAGCTTTCGACAAATGACGCGGTGGTCTAGTGGTTAAGACGTTCGTCTCTCAATCGGAGGACAAACGTTTCAACTCCTGGCAATGCAACAAAATTAGCGTGATAAATTTCGGTGTGATTTGGAATGTGTAAAACAGTTAAAGGACTTCCCGGCCTTTGCGAAAGGCTGTAAATTTAAAAAAATTGAAATAAAAAAACCAAAAGAAAAATTATCGCGTTCAAAGGTACTTGAAAATTGAAAAAAAAGCACAAGTAAAAGAGTTTTAAAAACACGTGTCTTCTAAAAAGCCTGAAAATGAAGAAAGTCAGACGGAAAAAATCAAACAATTTCCGGCTTTTAAAAAACTCATGTTTACTTAACTTAATTTTTTTTCACGAAAATTTGACAGGGTGATTTTCTCGAGAGTGAAAAAATTTAATTTTTTTCACTTTTTTGAAATTCTCTTAGATTTTTTTTCGACGCGGAACTTTTTTTTCTTGGGCTCCTGTGTCTGTCTTGGGCAACCTGTGTCTGGCTTGACACAGGTAGCCCAAGACAAAATACTTCTTCGTCCAAAAAAAAATCTAAGAGAATTTCAAAAAAGTGAAAAAAATTAAATTTTTTCACTCTCGAGAAAATCACCCTGTCAAATTTTCGTGAAAAAAAATTAAGGTAAGTAAACATGAGTTTTTTAAAAGCGGGAGATTGTTTGATTTTTTCCGTCTGACTTTCTTCATTTTCAGGCTTTTTAGAAGACACGTGTTTTTAAAACTTTTTTTACTTGCGCTTTTCTTTTAATTTTCAGGTACTTTTGAACGCGATAATTTTTTTTTGGTTTCTTTATTTCAAATTTTTTTTTCAATTACAGTCTTTCGCAAAGTCCTAGAAGTCTTTTCACTGTTTTACACATTCCAAATCACACCGAGATTTTTCAGGCTAATTTTGTTGCTTTGCCAGGAATTGAAACGTTTGTCCTCGGATTGAGAGACGAACGTCTTAACCACTAGACCACCGCGTCATTTGTCGAAAACTATTGTTCTCTATTTGACCTAATCCTTTTCCATGAATTTTAAATTAAATAGTAATTTCGGTGGGAAAAATCGAACCTTTCCCATGCAGGATTCGAACCTACCCTTACAGCCTGGTAGGCCGTAGCCTTAACCACTGGGCCGTAGGATTGGTTGTTGATAGAAGCCTTAATATATATGTTATTGAGGTAGTGGTTAAGGCTGCGGCCTACCAGGTTGTAAGGGTAGGTTCGAGTTTTTTAGTTTTTTTACTTATGTAAGTGTATTTTCCCAGTTTAGACTGAGCTAGTGGGTGGGTCATGAAATAAATTTGGTAAGATTAGATGGGCTTTGAAACTTTTTTTTGTCAAAATCTTTTTTATTGTGTCCAAATATTTTTTCGTGTCAATTTTTTTTTCTTGTGTCCAACTTTTTTCCTGACAATTTTTTTTCTTTTCTGTCCAGATTGCCTTAATTTTTTTTCTTTTGTCGAAATTTTTTTTCTTTTATCAAAATTTTTTTCTGTCCATATTCCTTTCAATTTTGTGTTCCTCAATTCTTTCCTGTCCAAATTTTTTTTCTTTTGTCCAAATATCTTTTATTAATATTTTAACCATTTTCCATTTTTAAAAAATTTTTCCAATTTTGTAAAATTTTTTTTTAAATTTTTTTAAAATTTTCAAAATTTGTGAATTTTGGCTTTACATTTTTATTTAGCAAATTGTTTTGGAATATTGAAAAATAATTTTGAGCCAACAAATGAAAAAAAATTTTGCCCACTACAAAAATTTTGACACGAAAAAAATATTTGAAACGAGAAAAAAAATGAAGAACGAGAAATTAAGAACGCCTAAAAACGAGAGGAAAAAGAAATATGGACAAAAAAAAATTCAAAACGAAAAAAAATTTTGGCTTTTAGCCTTTGTTTGTCAATCGAAAATACACAAAAATTCCTTTCGGAAGTGCCCCATAACCCATGATGATACGGTACAAGAGCGTAAATCCACGTTGGAAAGTGGGGGGACACCTCAGTTTGCATAGATTAGTTAATGGATATGATTAACTGCCACGTAAAACATTTAGGTTGTATTATTTGTTCATACTTGTATTGTATAATTATGACATACGGTGCCGGGTACAAGCGTACACCGTTAACAAACGTTTTATATGGAATTGTCGAATGTTAATAGTTTGGACTATCGAGTTCACATTTGTGAAGACCATTTCTTGATTTTTTTTTAAATATAGCTTAAATAAGACACGACGGTATAAAAAAGTGGGGGGATAATTACATATTCGTCCCCTCCTACTCCAAACTTGTCCTCCCCCCGTCCCCCCAAGAGTTACGCCCTTTATACGATATGATAGAGTATGATACGATATGATACAGTATGATACGGTATGATACAGTATGATATAAGATTTTACAAGCAGTAACCCCAATCCCCCCTGACCCTATGTCGCTTTTGTTTCGAAATTTTTATTTAATAATCCATTCATTTACAATTCGTTATGATTGTAGATCAGTCGCCTACACTACAAATGAGGCAAAAGTTTGAAGTCAGGTGGACATTAAACGTACGTACAACTTTGGATGGCATGTACAATTTCTCATTTCATGATTTCAAGATCTTCCCCTTGAGAGAGATCAAACATTCCGCCATTTATTTGTTATTCCGCCTTTTTTAAGACGCAATCCTCCGATCACTGATTTTAGGACTTTTCTTATGGAGTATAATCTTCAGTTAACTGAACTCCAACGGTAGAGATAACTGGACCAACCTGTGTTAGCATCATCACCACCTTCATCTGTTTCTATGGGGAAATTATACGATCCAATATATATTTATATATAGACTTTTATATGAGAGAGAGAGAGAAATTTCGGTATTCCAAAAATTTAGTTTGACAAACCTCTTGCAAATTTTGACAGATAATTCTTTTCTTCATCACTCAATTTTAACATGGCGGTGAGGACAGGAATAAGTTGTTCCTTCTCATTTGATCCTTGACTAAGAAACTACACAAGGACAAGTGAAAAAAAACGTTCTCAAAAAGCTTCCCTTGAGTACGAAACATTAATTGGACTAATTCGCAAAGAATAAGAATTGATAAAAATATATTCACCTTCATGATAATATTTTTTAAATATTCTAAATTCGATAAACCTTCTTCTCTTTCCTGGTTTCTTTCCAATCTAAAATTTCAAAAAAAATCGGCTCTTATGTGTATGTTAAATGCAAAGGGTTCACTTTCTAGAACAATGGGGTGGGAAAGAATACAGTATGGCCGGACTTTTAATTTTAACAACACTCTCACGTCTAACCTAATTTGTTCACTCTTTGAATGTTTTGCAAAACTGACCTTCTAATTTCATCTTTTAGTACTTTCGCTTGCTCCCCAAGCCTCATCGATGTCGCCTCACTTTCACGCAAGAGCTGAATCATAAATAAAAAAACATTGACGAAACGTAGGAATGTAGTTTGGAAACACGGACATAAACATAGTTAAACGATAACGATAATAAAGGCATTCGAATGTTGTACAGTTTTCGGGGTACCTCAGACAAATGATCTATCTCACGTCTGGCTTTTGTAACCTCTTCCTGTATAAAATCATTCTCGCCCATCATTGGTAATTCTAAATAGTAAACAAAAACAAGCGTGTTAAGATTATAAGTGGCTACCGCAGCTTAAGGAAGAACAACAAGTGTCAAGACTCATGCTGAAGGTACATCCTGGTAATCTGAAATGGCGGGAGGACTAGGACTAGTTGTCAAATAAAAATACCATTTGGAAAAACTTAATATCTCTTGAAATATATTTTATTTCGGTTTCAAATTTATGTCAGAACTTATAGTTTTTTATACCTAAACATAATCACACAATACGACAATATAATCGATTAAATACTGGAAAATGGATTTCGACTTCGACAGCCCTTTTGAGCGCTGATTTGACGAGCTATTTTTTGACTTTGTTAACATAATACTAAATATACTTAATTCCCCCTTAAAATTAGAATGCCAATACACATATCAGACACACATAATTCGGCTATTGACTTGCCAGTTTCACTTTTTGAAGGTAAAATTGCATGTGCGTACAGGTTGTTTCTAGTGATGTAATCATTACCTTCGACCTTTGTAGGAGAGAGCAATGTTTCCAAAGGAACGCTGTGGAAGGATGTTGCTGAAACCGGTGTAGTTGGCTATAAAATATAAAATATGCGCTCAAAATCATATATCAGTAAACAAACTTCAGTTTTAGTATATAAGGTATGTTACACACGTTTTTCGTATAGGTGAGCATTATAGTTGGTTCGTTTAAATCTATTCCCAACGTAGATTCCTACCTGACTTGTGACATTGCTTTGCTCCTGTTCTGGGTGTTCCATTCCCTGTTACAAGAGAGAAATCAATATATTTCTAGTTGAAGTTTATATGTAAGCTTGATGATTAACCAGCCAGAATTAATTAGAACCAGCCGGCCCTTCCGGCCAGAATTGGAGATTATGCAAATCTGTTATCAAACAATAAAAAGAGTATACCTCTCCTGCCTGTCTTTCCTCAGATCTTAACTGTGTTGTATCACCAGCAATATTTAGTTTCAATGGTGGACTTTCACGCGATCGTGGCTTATCTTTTAATATTTGTTTCTGGCGTTCTTTCTCAAGTTCATCAATTTCTTGATGAAGTTTTTCTAATTTGGTTTTATGGTCTTCTTCGATCTTTCGAATCTTATCCTGTACACAATAGAGAACACAATAAATCATATTCTTTCTTTTCTCAGATTATCAGTAACCTCGTGTCGCAAAACACATTTATACATGGATTTAAAAACACTCACTAAAGCGACGGCAGGATAAGAGTGTAGTCAACTTGTTTTGTACAGTACCTTGTATGTTTTAGCCAAAGTTTCGTTCTTGACTGTCAGAAGTTCAGTGGCTTCTTTGTGTTGTTCGAGATTTGTCGTAAACTCCTGTGATATTTTTTCGACTCTAGAATAAATGTACACGATATAAATGCAGAATCCTAAAATGTAATTGCGCTCCCAAGGTTGCTAAAAGCGTTAATTATAATAGATATAATTTAATAAAGTAGTGTTTAAATATTTGTATCGAGACCTATTCGAGAAAGAGCAAGAGCAACAACCTACCCCCTGCCTCTTTTTTGAATATATAGTACCGTCTACAATGACTAAGGGAAGGGAAGATATAAGGAGGTACATCGCCTACGAAGTTGACAAATTTTGTGGCAAACTTGTATTCTCTAACCTTTCCTTCCAAAATCTCTCTTTCTTTTCTGAATCCATTGAAAGTTGAGTGTGTACAGTGGTAAGTCTTTCATTTTCAGTTTCAAGATCCTCGTAGTCACTTTGTAATGATCTAAGTTTTTCACTAAATAAGATAAGATGTAATGCAATAAAAGTAGTACAACGTTGGTCTTCCTGTACAAAAATACCATAATGCAATTTCAAATTATTTCTTCGAAACTTCATCGTAAAGGAATACGAAATATTGTTCAATTATTGAATAGCAAACCACGGTTTAGCAAACTCTGTGATAAACATGAGTTTTGCAACTTGAGTGAATGACATTTTTCGTTGTTAGGACGCGGTCGATCAAAAGATGAACAAACATACCTTGTTTCTTGAAGTTTTATTTTAAGTTGCAAAATGTTCTGCTGCAGCTGTGACCTATAAATATATTTGCGATTATAAGCGTTCATCGATGAAGACGTAATTATACTCACACCCACCCTTGAAAATACTTTTTATTTACCTTTCATCAGCTTCAATAGTTGCTGCTGGTGTTGAGGGTTTTGCTTTTTGCTGTTTCAATACACTGTGCACTCTCGTCTGCGGATGTAGAAATCATTGCTTAAATTTGATCACCAACAAGCAACATGAATGAATGAATGAAAGAATCATTACTGGTAAATAACATGATCTTATATCACCTTGTAGTTTTCATATTCACTTTCCAAATGGGCTTTTGCTTGTTTTACTGCCTCAGATTCGCCTTTCACGCGTTTAAGCTTCGCGTCAAGATTTTCCAAATTAACTTTATTGTTTTCAACGACAGAATGCAGCTATATATAATAAAATTTCAAAAACACTTAAGTAAAAATAAACTACCTTCAAAGCTTGGAATATCGGCATGAAAGTTTTACCTGTTGTTCAAGAGTTTGCTTTTCCGCATGTACTACCGACAGCTGAACCTACAAATTAAAATAACATCACGTAATACGTATCTCTTGCCTTATTAGGCAGTTGCATACCACGTTTGACAATAAGTCATTTACAGACACCGTCACGGGGCTCCATGGTTATTTATATTGAAATATAATACAATGAATGACATCGAATTAACCTCTTGTTTTAAATATTTTGGCACACGGCCAAAATGGTCTGATTATATACCTTGATATTTTCATTTTCGTGTATCTTCGCTTCAAGTTCTTCTTGGGTATCTTTTTGCCGTTTCTGAGACTCTCTTTCCTAAATTAAAAAAAAGCAAACCTTCTGGGAAAAAATCGCTTTCAACAGAAGGGAGGACAAAGTGTTAATAACGTTGTTAACATCTCTTGGGCAATCAAAAGAGAACACTATAAAAATAGTAAATTCACAGGCGATAACCATTATATTCTTGCGTCCATATATAGATAGTTAGAAAATTTTGCTGTTGGTCATGCATTTCATGGGTATAACTCGGGTATATATACCTGCTCTTTCACTTGGGATAAATCTTTTTTAACATTTTTAATAATATTCTTCAGTTTCTTCTCTTTCTCCTCTGTTTGGCTAATTTTTTCTTCAAGTGAAACTACAAGATAAAAATTAGGATTATATATTCAAATAAAATATTATTAATACCTTCTTATTATATTATTACGATAAAAAATGTATTATTTAGTAAATTGAAAATCTTCGTACAGTAGGGGCTAAAAAGGTTAGTAGGGTGGCGTGGGATAAATGAGGGATACTTTCGCAGGGGAAATATAGGGATATAACACACATTTGATACTCCAATACCCACAATCACTGAAATTCAGTACACAAAACACAATACCTATCTCGTTGTTTTTCTCTAGTAACTGTTTACTCAGCGCATCAGATTCATCATTTTTCTGCTGTAATTTGTCTTTATTTTCTGCCAAATCTTTTTCATAACTTTCTAATGCACTCTGACAATCTTTCAACTCCAAATCAACAAGACTTGCTTTGCTTGCCTCCTACAGGGAAAAAAATCGGCGATGTTAACGATCGTCCGCGGGACCAATACAGAAAAATTCTTTCCGATTAAACAATTTATTCCAACTGATATTCCACATAAAAACTATAGAACGACAGTCCCGATATTACTTTGAACTAAAGAACAAAAATTCGCACTACGTCACAACACAGACTTTCTATAAAGATTTATTACATATTGTTATAAAGCCTCCTTAGACAAGTTCCAGAAATGACGTCATCAACACGAGGAATTAACGATACAAACCTTTTCTGAACTTTCCAACTGTTCTTTTGCTGTTTTCAACTCGGATTCAATGTTTTCGACATTCATCTTTTCTTTCGCTAGTTCCTGTTCCAAATTCCTAAGTTTTTCTGAGAGCTATAATATTTCAAAAAAATACATATATCTATTCGTAGCTTGGATCATGCTGGTAATGTACCATAGAGCCTTTCTTTTAGCAGTCAAAATAGCCTTGAGTTTGAAATTATATTTTTGGTAATGGATGTGACACCATAGTACCATACCATGCCTTACCTCGTTACACTCGTTTTCTTTGTCATGAAGTTGTTTCTCTAGAAGATTGATATTCTCCTCCATAGATGCAATCTTCGTTACAAAGTCATCATTTTTATTGACGATTTCACTGTTCTTTTCAGTTAATTCAGCATTCTCCTTTTTCATAATTTGCAAATTCTCTTCAAAAGACTGAAATGAAAGATATGGACAAGTTTTACTGATGCCGCGGAATTATTTCTAGAATATATATAAAAGGTTAAGTTGGACACTCACTTCTTTTTCTCGAGCAGAAATCTCAAGTTGTCCTTTTAAACTGTCAATACTACAACAAAAACGACAATTTATAAGATATTAATACTGCACACACCAATCCTGTCATTATAGCAAGTAACATGCATTACACATGAAAGTTCATAAATTAAATGTACCTTTCTGCCATTGTTTTATTTTCTTTTTCAAGTTCGCAGATCTTTTCGGTCTAATTAAAAATATGAAACGGATGAAAAGTCGAGTCACATGCAAGCCTCTTCATCAACAATCTTTGCCCCTTGCCTTAGCAAACTCAGGTATTAATTTTGCCACGAAAGGCGTTTCTTTAAAGAAGGAAGGGCTTTACAGCTATACATATAGGCCTAAATTATAACGATATGATACCAGACTTATTAAAGGAGTAAGAAATATATAATCATTCACCTGTTCTGAATCCCGTTTGATTTTTATTTCACCTTTATTCAAACTTGAGAGCAATTTTTCGTCTTTTTGTTGAATGACTTCCATTAACGCTGCCTTCTCTTCTTCAAACTAAAATAATCCCAGGGAAGACATTGAATGGAGATATTCTTTTAATCAGCATCTTCGCTTGTTTAATTAAGTCGCTTTTACGATACAGTTTATGCCATTTGATGCATTATGATCTGAATACGTGAATTATACAGCTTTCCTATAAATATTATAAACTTTATTGAGCTAACGTTAATTGTACCTTTTTCTTCACGCTTTCTGTTTCTTTTTTTGCCTTCACAGCGACCTGTTTCATTTTGTTTATCTTTGCCTGCAATTCGCTATTTTGTTTTTCTAGTTGCTCTAGAAATTTATAAGCGGGATTAACTATCGGCTTATAACCTACCGGCCAAAATATTTTGATGGGCGGACAAACGGAAAATTAAGATTCGAGAGCACATATGCCGCAATTTAGGCTGAAAATCACCCGACTTTGAAGTACGAATTGCCCATTGAGATGAATAAATGGTTTATTTATCTCAATGGAATGACGGGTAAGCTGCAGTCCCCAGCCTCTCAGTTACGCTACTTTTAAGCAATATTCCCTGCACAGAGCATACAGGATAACATCTGTAGCATTTTAAAGTTTGGTTTGGAGAAATGGATATTTTCAGGTTTGGGAGAATGATACTATGAACTAAAGCAAAAAGGTTTGACATAGCTAGTTACCTTTACCAGCTCTCATTTCTTCAACTTCTTTGCAATACTTTTCAACTTTTGCTTGATTAATGTTCGTATTACTTTCAAATTTCGAAAGACGATTTATTTCTTCTTCAAGTGCTAATCTTTCCTGCAAATGATGATCAACTTTTTCTCTCATCTCTGACAAAGATTTCTCTTGTTCCTTCAACAGATCATCAGAGGATTTCACTTTTTCCAACAGCGTATTTTCATTGGAAGCAAACGACTGAATTGCTTCCTCTTTCACCATTACGTCTTCTTGAAAGGATATTTGACGTTCTTTTAACCGAGTCAATTCTAGTTCTAACGATTTATTCATTTCACTCAATTCACTAATTTGTGTTTCTCTGTCTAAAATTTTTTGTTCAAGTAATGTAACAGTTTCTTTCAAACTTTGTTCAGTTGCTTCTTTTGTTTTCAAAATTTCATTTAAATCAGAATATTTGCCTTTCTCGTGTTCTAGTTGTTCACGTAAATCCCGAACGTCGTTATTGGATGAATCTAAACAACTACTGAATTGTGTCTCTCGCGCCTGAAGTGATTGTTCGAGCGCTTCATTTTCAGTCCTTTGGTTTTGGAGCTGTGTCTTCAAGCTGTTACACTCAACCTCTTTTTTCTGAAGATTTGCAGTTACTTCGTCCAAATTTGTGCAAATAACCTTTTGTTCATCCTCTTTATTTTGACTTTCGCATCTTAACTCTTCCAGAGATTTCTCCAAGTTTACAACCAACTGTTGCAGTTTATTGATATGTTCATTCTTCTCTTCACTATCCTGCTGTGATTTGTCAACATTTTGTTGAATAGTAACTAAATTTTGTTTCTGTTTTGACAGAGCCTCCTCTGCGCTGATCAAACCTTCATTTTTTTCTTCATACAATTGTTTCAGATTCTTATAGTCCTCATTCAGCTTTTTAACTGCTATTTCTTCTTTTTCTAATTTTTTTGCTAGTTTTTGGCATTCTTCGGTCTTTTCTAGAAGTTTGGAGGACAAAGAATCCAACACAGTCTTAGAATTCGACAAATCTTGTTCATTTTTCCCGCATAGTTGGTCTTTCGCGTCAAGCTCGATTTCTTTTTCCTTTAATAGTTCTTTAAGCGAATTTAAATTTGTATGTAAGCTTGAAATTTCATCTTTGTGCTTACTTAGACTTGATTTAAGAGTTTCAATCTCTTCATTCAGCTTTAAAACTTCCTCCCTCTCATTTTTAACCTGCTCAAGCCGTTCATTTTCAGCTTTCTCATGTTTCTGTTGCAATTCAGTAGTTCTACGTTTTTCTTCTTCCAATTGTTGTGTCACAGTTGCAAGCCGACTCACATAATCCATCTCGATGTTCTTGAGTTCATCCTTCTCTTTAGTTAACTCGGAAATTCTATTATCAAGAATATTGATCTCTTCCTCGTGTCCACATTTGTTGTTCTTTGCAGGATCTTCCCTGATGTTTTCAGAATCGACAAAATCTGTTACAATTCCTTGCTTTTTATCTTGTTGCCCCCGCAATGTTTCGATTTCCTAGATAAATGATGCCCAAATATGACAGATGCCATGAAATCACGTTAGCATATGAGGTTGTTTACATGAAGTGACTTTGTCGTATTGAACCTGGTAGCGTCGTGGTTATCCCAATAATAGCATGCAATTGTATAGTTTCACAGAAGCTTAACTCAATACATCAAAATGTCGATCCAGAAATGACATTGCATCATATTAAAATATCGGCATTTTGGAAATACAAGAGATGTCAAGCCATATAATATCATCGCTGGAAATTACTTACACGAAGTAAATTTTCATTGGTTTCCTGCAAAGTCGAAATTTCGGTATAATAATGTGATTCAGAGCTTAGCTCGTTGGATTGAATTTCTGAGAGTCTTTCAGATAGAATCTGCAAACAAAATAATGTTGAAATGATCTTGCTATTGCGCCAGAGTTTTCAGTTTGAAAGAACATAAACTGTCTTTTATCACGGTGTATTATTAGCTAATTACTCACAAACACGTTATTCTATACCTGATTTTCTTTAAATATTGCTTCCTTCTCCTCACTCATTTTGAGAACTAAGTCATTCAATTGCTAAAATAATGCGAAAAATTTCATAATAATTTTATTTATTATTTTAACTCGTCGCTAAAAGTTTAGTATTGAAATACCTTGTTTGCATTTACTTCCTCGTCATACTTTATTTGAAGTTCGTCATGGGCGTGGAAGAGTTCTTCAATTTCGGCATCGAGAGTCTACGGAGCAATGGACCTTTTTCATGATGACGTCAAACGTGGAAAGTTTGATGTTACACGAAGTTTGATAAGACACTTAGCAGCTTAGTGTGGGGCAAGTGAAAACTTGGAAGATGTAGAATTTCGTGCAACTATATTTTTTGCTGTCCACATGCACAGTGCATGGAAACACTAACAAATTCCATATTCTCCATATTTATTTAGTCAGAGATTAAAATAATGTAAAATTTTGTAACATAAAGGGACTATGAATGTAACGTTCTAAAAGTTCATTGGACATAAAATGAGACTATATAGAGAACGTAACACTGTCTTACATCCTTTTCTTCATTAACTTTAGCCAACTCTGCCCCAAGGGTCTGAGTAGAATTTTCCATATCATTTTTATATTCCTGAAAACCAAAATGAAATGTCAAAGATGAGAATGAAGTTCTTATTCTGACAAAATAACAATTACGATGCTTTCTTCATTTGTGTTGACTCAGAGCTGCCCGATCCAGGCTCCTCCTATATTCCATTTACCATGAAATCAACGCAATACGACCCAAGGTGTTCCTATTGGTATTACTATCCATATTCTCATTGTTTAATTGTTATTTCATGGAAGTGAGTGACCTCAATTAGTCATTAGTGACCTCGATGTTATAGCATTTCAGCCTACCAGAGAATAGTGACTTATTCTAATTCTTTAATTAGTATAGGCCTTAATAATACTTTTGACAATAATATAATTATTAAATGGTTATTTATATATTAATATGAAATGATAGACGGAAAGAAAAGATATCAATCTTTAGATATTAATCTCTATATGCACTTGACGACTGAAAATTCAACGCTTAGCATATATATATATATATATATAGCGTTCTGGCATTAAATAATAATATCGAAGGTGGATTGTTGCAATCATTAACAATTAATAACTACCTTAAAATGGATAAGATGAACCTGTTTGGACGAGACTAGTTAAGATTGTTTAAATATTCATATTTTGCTATATGCTTGTATACATTTTATATCATAACAGTTTTAAAACGATGCACAGTGTTTATACGTTTAACCAAACGTTTTTAACGTTCTACATCGAAGTTTAAACTGATCGAAGTTTAAATTTTTATTTTACTTAAAACTAATTAACCAAAACTTGGAAGAAATTCTAAAATATTTAATGACTTTAAGGGATTTAAAGCGAGCAGCTGCAGTACCTTTCTCCGTTTATTTCGCACATATTTTTCTTTTTCTCGTACAACCTTTATGAAACAGATATTTATAACAATATATTTATTTCTACATAATAAACCACTGTTGTGCGCTTTCAATAATAAGCGCTATTAACCTATAATGCATTATATTTATAGTGCATCGTTTGATCAATTTATTGACTGCATACAACTAATTTAAATGTTGAATACAACTCTTTTTGTTTCCCGAGTTTCCAGATCGCGATACAACAATGTGCATGCCTTTTGAAACTGAAGCATTTATTGACTCAGGTGCAGAGAATGTGGAATGTAAAAACGCCAATTTTCAAAATCTAACTTAATTTCAATTTTACTCGACGGATTAAATAGTTTATTTGAAAAATTTCTACAAAATGCGGACTGAACATGTTAGCTGCATAGTTTCTGTTAGTTGATTGATTAGTTTGTCTTACAGAATGAATTCCTATAAAACCATGCATATGCATGTTTTAAATCTCAATAGACTGTAATATCCAATCTCCCAGAATTTCTATCAATCTTACAAACCTCGTACTCCGCTTCAAGCGAAACAAGTTGTTCTTGAAGGTTTCTTTCACCGTCTTCTTTCTCTTTTGAGATTTGATCTATTTTTTCAAGAAGTCTCTGAAAAAATAACAAACAAAATAAAGAAGATTTCCTATACATAGATATTTATGACATAACATACACACGGTATATAATAATACACGTATAAAATATGCAAATGCATGAGAATATATTTTACTATACCCTTTCCTGCTTTTTCATGTCTGTCAACTCGACCGAACGATCATCCAGGGATTTTTCAATTTCAAGTTTTTCAGCGACTAGAGTTTGAATTCTCTCCTGAATGTCCTTAAAATGCAATTTTATTAAAAGGTAAAAAGTAATGCCACAAAAATATTAAACAAATAACAAATTAGAGTAACAACAATGTGTCAGCTCGATCCAGATTTGGTTAATTCTACACATTATTGATGTCGCAACGAGAGCAGCCGCAATTCAAATTTTACATAGATACTGTAATACATATGAACGGTAAATGCCAACCTTATTACTGCCGCCACATGTTGTCTGATGCTCCTCCCACTGTCTCTTCACCGCTCCCATTGCATGCTGGATCTTGTTCTTCTCACCTGTGATAAACTGTAACTGTTTTTCAAGTTCCTTGAAAAATTTCAGAAAAAATAATTCAGAAAAAAACCCCCAAAATCACAAGGTTTTACTACCAAGAGAAGCTACAGCGAACAGTCAGAAGCTACAATGAAAGTCTAGTTATTTAATATAACGCCAGAATGTGTATCGCATAATATCATATCCAATTATACGATTCAACAGGATTTTAAAGAGCTGTGGTAACCAACTGTTTAATTTTAAGTTATACTATACATGTACAGAAATAGCTACAGTTTCAGTCACAAGCTCTATAATTGGATAGGACGTATTCATATATTCGGTTTTTTGTTATTTTACAGTTTTCGTTGTTTTTAGGCTATTAACCGAGTTATAAACAAGGATAAATGAATACACCCCCACCCCCCCTAAGACCTTACACTATACACCCCCACCCCCCGTAAGACCTTACACTATACCAATTCACACGTCCCGACATCAGTTTAGAAGATTTATAATATTCTCACTTGCCCTTCTGTACGGAAAAATATCAGACCTCGGTCTTTTTAATTTTTGCGGGTGATATATGTTTTATAAATACCTTATTCGCGCTAACAACACCATTGAATTCTTCTTTAACTTTAGTTGAACGTCCTTCTTGATCATCTTTTATTGCAGTGACGTCATCCAACTGTTTCTTTAAAAGCTATAAGCACAGGGAAAACCCGTCATTCCTGTATTAATTTCGCATAGTTTCCACAATCTTTAAATGAAAAACTGAAAACTTCATCAATATATTCATATATACAGATAGAAACGAGATATAAAAATTAAAGGTTCTAAGATCACAACTATGCGGTATATAGCTAATAGGTTTGATAGCTAGGCATAGAGATAAATGAATTCGTAAGCCACGCGGTTTGAAAAACATCAAAGACCTTCGCTGTCGCTGCCATGCACCGTCTCTGGATTCCAACACTGATACGATGAATAACAGAAGAGAAGTATACGAAATATCAATAAGAGAAAATATCATACTTCAATCATCTCCATGTTTGACTTAAGTTCTTCTTTCATATTAACAAACATATCATCCATCTTTCTTCTTTCATCCCGTAAAACATCATTCACATCTTTCATGGAAGTTTCCAGCTGTGATTTCTCACTTTCAATGTTGTTTACATCTTTTTCTAATTTCTAGAGATAAAAAAATATGTATATAAGCCTAAATGCATGTATACAAATACATGCAGGTTGCCAAAAATTGCTAAATTACTGAAGGTCTGAAGGTTTTTCTTAAATCTAAACCAATACAGCAATGACATAGTGGTTTGGGTTCGAATTTTTTATTTCAGAAACTTCGTTAAGCTGGGACTCAACTACATCATTAATGTCATGGAAATCTTCGTTAATTCTTACAATTTTAATTTGAGATATTTCTTTTAGTTCCTCCTGTAGTTCATCCTTTTCAAATAGCACATTTTCATGTTTCTTTTCTAGAAACTACAACACAACAGAATTCTCGTCATGAAACGAAACAATGTGTATAAGAATACAAAAACTTTAGAACTACAGCACTGTCCAGAAATAACCTAAATAGCCGTACTACATTACTAATTTTAAATCTGCAAGAAGCAAGAATAAAGAAAAAAATTTTAACCACTTCCATCTAAACACGCTTTACTAAGCGAAATATTATCTATAATAACTTTGGTCAAAGTTGGTCAAAGTTGAACAAAGTTGTTCCAAAATGGAAATTATATATATGTTTGAAGTATATGAATGTTCAACTTGATATAAAGTACTTCATATAGTACTGCATTTTTCCTTATTAGACATCAAAAGAGTACGGAACAAAACCCAAATGAAAGGAAATTTAACTCTCTTACTTTGCATTTTTCATTCATTTTTTCATATTCTTTCCGAGTTTCATTTAACGACGACAGCAGACTGTTCCGCTCAGATATCACAGCTTCAAGTTCACTCTAAAAGTAATAATACATACGGGTAGTATGATGCTAAACCAGGATATTTTTCGGTGCATGAGAAGTTACATAATGTTACTAAACTTATAGCATCATGAGACTAAATAATGGTCTCAAAAGATCGCGGACGGACTATTATATATATTCATACATGTATATTCGTGTTAACTGCATGTTAATCACATGCAGACCGTAAAAAAATGAAAAGCGCACGTTAATGGAGTTCTTTGCTGTGACTTTCCACTGGAGTAAAAGTTAGTCGTCTCTGTCAATAATTTGACTCGTGCAGTAAACGCTTTTTCAGTATGACTGTGTTTCAATATTTTTATCGATTCCCCAGTGTTGGGACATTAAATTTTATTATTTTAATATAAAGTTTCCTTTTGTTGTGGGACGTCTATTGGTACAAGGAGAAGGAGAGACTTTTCAATGACAATGTATCGTGACTATCGTCACTTGTTACTAAGAAAGGACACGGCAATAATTAATAAAAACATTGTCGCGTCTTTCGTCGTCTGATCACTGAGAAATTAGGTTTAGCTAGCTTAACGGAGACAGGTTGCGAGGATATAAATATCGACAATTTACATAAAAATAGGTAACATTTTTGTCAACATTGTTCGGTTAAACATGTGAAAAATTTAAAAGTAATCTACATAACTATAAATTAAAAATTTGCTTCTTCTAATGCATGTTCGATTAAAGTCAAAATTTGACGTGCGTCTAAACTGACCACCTGCTTCCATCTCTCTTATAACAATTGTTCTGATCCATGAACACTATAAATGTTTGTCGCATGTATTTCTTGCTCCGACAGCCAAACACAAGATTTTAAAAAACACGTTTTTTAATTTAAATCTGAAAGATATCAGAATATTAGGTTGCATTAGAGATTTTAATTACGAAAATGAAAATTTATTATGACGTTCATGTCATGCAGCGGCATATTTGCATGTGATAATCAGGTGTGAAGTGTAATTACGACTCTTAAACTTCTGCAAGAGGAAATGTAAAATTGATCGCCTTTCACCTAGTATATTCATCCAATTTTTTAAAATAGAAAGGTACGTTAATCACATAAATGCTGACTTTGTAGATCTAAGACTAAATAGCAGTGAAAATTGCGCAGACAATACGTATATTTTTAAATGACACTGGAGGTTGTTCTAGTTCATCGGTGTACATGCATATATTATTACATAGCATGCATAGTAGATATGGTAAATACTGAAAGGTAAGTGCAACTCGAAGTTGATAGCGAGATTTGTTCATTCAGAGCTTTGTCTTGTCTCGAGAATAGTCGCAAAGCTCAGCAAGTTTAAATCAAATTACATATACAATAGATAAATATTAAACTATCAAAAACATTGATGCTAACTTTTGGATTAAAAAAACTATATATTGATGTTTGCTGATTCAAAACTACAGGGAAATTGTATGCTTTATTTAAGACAACATGCATAAACCTGGAGTAGAAAGTTCGAGTCCTGAATGTGTCTGGGAACGTAAAGTTACATTTTTCGCCACCGCTTTCGGTCAGTCCAAAAAGAGCTAAAAAAATTCGTTCATGTATTTCCTACAGTAGGTATACGCGTGATTTAGATCTATTTGCGTAGAATTTCAGTATGAATAATTACTGTGTTTTTTATTTAGGATATAACTAAGCATACAAAAGTATAAAAATGAGGCGACCGGATAGTAATGGACGTTCATGTAGGAAACTGGCACTGTTTACCGCTGTTCTAATCAACACAATTTGTGTTTCAAAAATGATGAATCGCAGTGCTTTTATGTCACTTGTAGATAAAGGTAGGTATTTTCATGACTTGTCCTTGATATTTTCATTAAATCCATAAGTTTCATTTGCCGAAAAAACATTGATTTAAAACTTATTGGGAAAATAAATATCCCCAGCATGCAATCTAATACAAACAGTGAATATTATATAGGATTTCGTTTGACACAGTCTACGTTTTATGAAAAAGAGGTGAAGAGTATGCTCGATTGTGCTCAGTTATGTTTGATACGATGCTCGAAGTGCAAATCTATTAATTTTAATCATGAGAAGAAAATATGTCAACTGAATAACATGACACGAATAAAAAGTACGGAAAAGTTTATCAAAGATGAACAATTTAAATATCTGGAACCGGTTCAGGTAATGTGCTGAAATAAAATAGATTAGAAACACTCTGAGCGGAAAAAAGACACTTTTATACAAAAACCAACATGTTCCTACATGTAGATATGTAGATATAATACATGGTATAATATCAATTAATTAACGGCGCAAGATAATTTTTACGTATATGCATATATATCTTGTAAACATCTGTCGCCACTAGACTTATAATACATTCATATTTACGTAAATCACAAACTGCAGGCAAATATTCAAGATCACAGAAAACAATTTACTAGTGCAGCCTATATATAAATCATTATAATGTCACTTTCAAACCATCTATTCTGTTGTTTTACCAAACCAAAAAAAATTATATCCGATAACTTTCTAGGTTCAATTTATATCGCAAGAAAGTACTACCGGTAAGACTATATCCCTCAATAAAGTGTGTATATAAATTAACGTAGTGATAATTGTAGTAGTGATATAATAGTTTGTTGTGTCTGTTTCACGAATAGTAGCAGCGGAACAGGATTAATTTATTTTTCATTTCAAAATTATTCCTAGACCAAACACTTGGGTTTCTCCCATTCAGCGCTACATTCACAAATCTTGGTGCAAATGGTCGTAATGGTCCTGCATCTCTTAGTGCATATTATACTGGTCAAGATCACGAGCACATGGTTTCAGTTCAAAATGGTATCCAGTCCTGGACAGTACCGTACTCTGGTACATACCAGATAACAGCGGTGGGTGCTGCTGGGGGGTACGGTAATAAGGGGACAGTGGCAAGAGGTAAAGAGTATTCAAAAAAATTCTACATGTAATTTGTGCTACTATTCTCATTGACAATAGCTAGTGCATGTAGTTGGTTTCAAATCTACATAGAGTATGACATAGACGAGTTTATCTACCGAATTAATTGAATTGATCTCTCTAGGTCGAGGTTCGTACATGCAAGGGGATTTTGACTTCGCAAAGGGCGATGTTATTAAGCTTCTGGTCGGTCAGGCGGGTGTGGAGAACACTGGTCAGGCAAGCTCAGGAGGGGGAGGCGGAACGTTTGTAGCCACCGCAACAAATCAGCCATTGCTAGTCGCAGGTGGAGGAGGGGGCATCGAATCTCTCGAAAACCGTTTAGCAAATTGCGATGCAAATACAGGAACAACAGGAAAAAATAATCAATGTTATACCGGGTGTGCAAATTGGGCTGGAGGGGTTGGTGGAAATGGTGCGACAGTAGCTGATAATTCGAACTCCGGTACGGAAAATATTAACTGACCCATGCTGTTTAAACACTTTGAGCATCTATATAATACAGTTCCTAAACGACTTCGAAAAGTTGATTGTTCCTTTACTATAAAAACCGTTAAAACATTAAGTTTTCCTTCCTACTGATAAATTACTTTCTAAATAATAAGTGCCATATGAATACATTTCTATTTCAGGGGGAGGCGGAGGAGGTTTTAACAGCAATGGTCGTAGTAGCAAACAATTTGGTGGTACAACTGGAAATGGCGGAGAAGGCGGGAGGGGGTTTCAACAAGGAGGCAGAGGGGGAAGATCTTGGTACAACAATGGAGAAGGAGGATTTGGAGGAGGTGGAGGTGCATACGGACAGGGAGGGGGTGCTGGAGGTGGAGGAGGGTACTCAGGAGGGGCATCAGGGGACAATGTTTCAAAGTCTTGTGGTGGGGGTGGGGGATCTTATAATGCCGGGAGGAATCAAGTTAACCAAGCAGGCAATAATAACAGTGGTCACGGTTACATTAAGATTGTCAGATTAAATTAAAGATATGACATATATGCTGGTCCAATCACAATATCAAGATTAAATATCTTTTCAAAATTTAAGCAAGAAACTTCTTAAACTTAGTAGCATAATACTTTTGCATTGACAAATATATGACTTCAGCGAACTTCAGATTATATCATTACGGTTTTCCGTTTCCGAGCAAACAGTGGCGTAGCCAGCCTGACGATTTTGTCCGGTATGTAAATTTCGAGTTATTATAATTATTCACGTCTTTAGAAATTTATTGTTTTCGCAGTCAGTGAACACTAAAATATTAGCATAGCGGGCAAGCCAAAATTGCATCGGATTGTTCTGTATAATCTAGTGATATATATATATATATATATATATATATATATATATATATATTAATATATATATATATATATATGAAAATGAGAAAATCGATTTTTTGAGGTATACAGAAAATCCCTCCTCCGCCTACTTTTGTGCAATATGACTCTTACTGTAAAACAATAAAGATAACTTGATAAAGAATTTAAACGTAACTACTGTATATATACATATATTTGTCTTGCACTCGAAGAGATATACTTAAACAACTAAATAATTGTATTTCGTTAAGTAGCAGATAAACAGTGATCTTGCAGCTATCATGCAACTATCAGCAGCTATCATGATAGCGTGCCTGTGTGTAGATACATGGCAAGAATAGTTCTTGATATTCCCGCATCCGTTTTGTATTGGACCAATTTAAACTCATAAAAAATAATACCTCATAGTGATACATAATCTCAATTGAATTACAGTACTTCTATCCTTAAGAATATAAATCACTTTTAAACGCGAGTACGCACTTCTATATCGCACGATACTATATCGATACTAGATACGATCGATAGAGAGGTTAAGATATCCCGGTTCTGGTGTACTGGTACGGGTAGCCTTATTTTGTTCAATGAATTTCCTTCAGTGTTTTTTCAATTTTTTCGAAGATTAACTCGACAATTCTTCACCAGTAGACTTTATCCTCTAGAGGTAAGCATTATTTGTATCTTGAAACGTGCAAACAACAAGAAATTCCAATGAACAAAATATGGCTACCTGTACCCGAATACCGAAATCGGGGTATCTTAAGCTCTTTAATGTTGTAAATGTTGTTGCACGTTGTTTTAAATTACAAAAGGTATCACATCCTACCTTGTCAGCTGATCTTTGTCTCTCATCAATATTCTGCCCGCCACTTCCTTTTAGTTTCTGTAAATTATTACAATTGTACAATCACAATATTTTTACTGTGGCTATACATATAACATGCTATAAAGATAAACGCATACACAAATATAATACCTTAATCAATTGTGCCATTTTCTTCTTTTCTTGTTGTAGATTTTGAATTAAGTGTTTCTGGCTTTCGTAGCTCGACGTTGTTTGATCTAAAGCTTTCTTTGATTCCTATGAATACAGGAATGAATTAGAGAGCTCTAAATTGACAACGGAACATCTTGGTTCGTATTTGCAGGAAAATTTTTAAAGCTCTCTAATCTCATTACTCCTTGGGCTGTTGTAGAAAACCCCTGACACTTTAACTACTATTTCGAACTGTAATTAAGTAAATACAAGTTCTACGCATGTTACAACTGTCACACCCACGCAGTTGATCTTGTCTTTTTGAATGGCCTAACTGGTTGTTGAAAGTGACAAAAGAAAGGGCGACGGGGGGGGGGGGGCATCGAAAATCTACGAGGGCCCATCAAATTTCGTATCACACAGGCTCATACCGTACATAATTCTGAGTGTATATTATTCCTTACAAAGTCATCTTCCTGTTAATAGTATGCGCGGAGTGATGAAAAATACTGCAATGATACTCCGAATACCACTCATATGTTGTCATATCGCGCTACATAGCTATATAGGCCTCACGTTAATCCCTCATGAAATAAACTTTTAATAATAATAATAATAATAATAACGTCTTTGATTTAGATTACGCATAGATATATCTTATAAATATTAAACGTACTTCAAGACTTGTTTTCAACGACCTGCATGCTTTTGTAAACTTTTCTTTTTCAACTTTTAATTTTTCTATTTCTTCATTAATAGTCTATAAAATAATTTATTTGAAGTAAAACACGACGCTCTATAATGATCATGGAGAAAGGAAATTCATATTTCAGACGTTTATCGGTATTTTTAGTTTATGTTCACAGGCGAAGACCAGAAATATTTTGACAGCAAAATTTAAAAGAACCTTGAGAACACAGTTCATGGCTTCACAGTAATTATTAAATTTATTAAATTAAGAGGTTCTATACCCTACGTGAACTTTACATCTTGTATAGCCCGATTACAATTCTGTCACAAAATTATTACCATCGAAATTTCCAACACATTTAATTGTGACTTACGTTTTTATATTTCTCTTCTGCATCAAGCTTTTCCCGGAGATCGTCATTAATGTTCTTTATCTGTGAATATTCATGATTCACACTTTGCAACTGAACAGAAAGTTCCTATATAGAGATCAGAAATACATAAGATTAGATTCAAAAGATGTAATGTGGAAGAATGATGGTAGTCATATTCAATATTTAAATGTAATAGCTATTGTATATTCAGTTTGGTCGAAATCTATGCTGTAATGTAACTATAAGACGAGCATGGATAATGACAGATGATGCAACTTGGCAGGAGAAAATGGGTTATATTCCTAGTTTCTATATCTTTTCTAACGAGGAACTTTATAGTAAAAACGCGGGGAATGTTAATATTAATACAACCCACGATAGGTCTATAAAGCTATATGTATAAAAACAAACCCTTTTATTAAAATGATCGGGTGTGGGACAACTACAGGAAAACGTGCACGCAACGCAAATACGGTTTATTCGGCCTTAACACTCATCTCAAATATTTCTAGTTTTACAAATGTATAATCAATGTTCCTGCCGAACTTGATTTTTAATTGTTCATCAACAGCGTTTATTAATAAATACACACATTAACAAAACAGGAGCGGGATCGCCTGCATACAACCTACAAAAATGTCAATAAGTCGTTCTCCTGGCTCACTATCCTAAACTAGTCGAACCAGCGCGGTATTTTACATTAGAAGTTCTTCCCCATGCGCGCAGGTGCAAAATGAACTTAACTACTTCTTTTCGAAGGATAACAGGAGCTAGGTGGCTACCTTGTTTCTTTGGTTTACGTCCGAAAGCTTATGTGTCACGTCTTCGTATTTCACTTTTAATTCCACGTTACTTTCTTTCAGTTCATCTCTTTCTTCAGTTAACAAACTCAGGGAATTAGTCGAGTCATTCCTACTATGCAGTAGCTCTTCTATCTGATTCTTTAATTCCTAGAAAAATAATGTCTCCAAGTCATACAGATAATTTAAGAAACTCTTTACCGAACAGATATTTATTGTACCCTTGCCGTAAACATTTTACCTGGGAACATGATCACCGCATTTCTATACATACTATATAATGTATAACATAGGGGGATGGAAAAAAATTGAGTACAACACTTGAGGTCGAATAAAAAATGCCAGACATTGTGGAACAGTCGACGAATCAAAAATATGCTTTGTTTGCAAAGTACACGTGTCACAGCACAGACTTTTTAAAAAGGTCTATAGGACAGAGCATGGGTCATTTCAGGGTTAAAAAACAACATGCATGTTCAATTAGAAATTACCTCATTTTTATTACTTGTTTCAAGATGCTCTCGCCTCATATTCTGATAACTTGTTTGAATATCTTCCTGATCACTTCCGTAGTTTTCTAAACGTTCTTTCAATTCCTGTAGACGTAAAGTACGTAATCACTAATCAATGTACTAATCAAGGGTGAGCAAAATACTAGTGTCGATAACAATTATCAAATTGTTATTCCTACCCCAATTTCTTTTCGTGAAACTTCCACTTCTTCCATAAGATTCCTTATTCTCTCATCTGCTTGTTGTTTTTCCTTCGTTAAAAGTTCGAATTTCGAGATGTACTCCTTGACAAAATGCATAGAACAAGTGTCAAAAGACTTTCTACATGCAGTATAATTTGTATTTTAGATATAGGGACATACAAAACAAATTAGTTCGAAAAAAAAAAAGCAAGCTCATGTACCTGATTATCTTCTTCCTGCTTTGTCACGATTTCTTGTAAATTTTCAAAGTCTTTGATTAACTTCGCACGGTCCTCTTCCAGCATCTCAATTTTTTCCATTAATTCCTCAACACAAAGAGAATGCAATAGAGTTTTCAACATTTGCTAAACATTTATAAACGAAATATCAGGGAACTTTTATAATGACGAAAACGGACTGTTTAAACTTTGTGTTATTATATTTGCATGGATATGTCTGTTTGTACTGTATTTGTAGATGAAATACAGTCCTGTAGGGTTGATCAGGGGATCAAAGGGATAATATCTTATAAATCTGGTCGAAAAACAGAAAGCATGAATCGGTATTTCAATATTGAGTGTCTGCATAAAGTAATATTGAATCACTAATTTGTTGAACGCCGTAATTCTTACCATTTTTTCGTTAGTGAGATCGTGTATCTTATTTTCAGCTGGGTGTTTCTTCCCTTTGTTTAATCGTTCTACATCACTCCCAAGAACATGCATTCGCTTCTTTAAATCCTAAACCACACAATTATAAAGATTTTCGTTAAAAACTGGTCTCTAGTTTTACTCTGACAATCTTTCAATGTTGCCTGATAAACTGAGCATGATTTCTTATTTTATCCTTTTAGCTTCATTCCTTAGTGCACACTCACTTTGCATGTTTGCTTCAGCTGATTTCTTTCTGAGGTTAAATTTTCTATTTTTTCCAGCGTCTCTTCTCGTTCAACTTGTAATTCCTATAATGATGATTGTGGTTATGATGATTATTGTGGAGAATATTACAGTACAGCATGGAACAACATTGTCATAGGACAGTACAGTAATATATCCTTCACACAGTTATATATAACGTTCATGGGAAAATCATAATATCACAGACTATAGTACATGCAAATTTAAACTTTCATTTAAAAAATTGAGGTATCTTTTATAAATGCTACTATAAAAATATTACATTATTCAACCTTATTAGCCACCCATCCAAAAGTATCTTAGTTTGTCCTACATGCTGGACCGACTTTTAAGACTATAATTTCACAAAAGCTAAAAGGGGATAACATTCCTCCACACCTCTTTTGTTACAATGTATACTAGTGCATAAATTTAGTAAAATACCTTTATCTTATTCAAAAGCCTGGTACTTTCTTCAGCACTAATGAATTCATGTTCATCTTGCTACATACAAAAACAAGTTAAACAAAAAAGATCAACCATATGAAGCTTACCATTTAAATTGGCACTTTGACTGCTCCACTTGCTTTGAACAGTGGTTGCACTGTAACCCCCAACCACCACCCCCCATTCTTTGTAACATATATGTTTTAAAATACCTGATGGGAAGAATGCAAGGAACGTTTAAGGCCATCTCTCTCACCCTTTATTTCCTTTAATTCCTGACAGGGAAAAACAAGAGTAACAGCCTTTAGTTCTAGCCTAAACCTGACAGCTATGACTGCAGTCACTTACATTCTTAAGATTTGCACAGATTTTTAGCGAACTTTCCAATTCTGCCTGAAGCTCATCGTTTCTTTCCAACATTTGTTTTCCGAGTTCAGCAGCCATTTGCAACTCATCGTTCTTTGCAGAAACCTAGCAAACAAATGTACACATGTAAGTGTCTGCAAATGATGGGAATACAAACCATGAAATAGGAAGAAAATAATAATCATAATTCACACGTATACAGTGCACACCTCTTCTTTCTTTTCAAATTCTGCCTGAACCCCACGTGATAACCACTCAGCTTTCTCTTTCTCAAGAGACCGAACATCATCTTCTTTTTCTTGAAGCTGTGTTTGTAAAGCTACAAGCACATTAAATTTTAGATTTCAGTATATATATATATTTATGACTGAGTATTTTTGGGGTTAATTAAAATATGCAATATAATGTACAGCACCTTCACATTTTGATTTAAATTGCTTAAGTTGAGAAGATTGCTTCTTAATATATTTCACTAGATCCTCTTTTGCTAAATTTTCCAACTAGAAATAAAGGTATATATATCAATTACGATTTTTACTATTTCTAATGCTTGTGCATGGAATTGCATGGATACGACACTGACTCCCCCCAACTTCCTAATGCAAGGAAATCTATGCGTTAAATTTGGTAGAGCCTTGACTCATACTCTTTCCATAATTATAGGAATGGGTAAATTGAAGTCACATGCATTGAATCATAATATATGGACGGTTTATTTTCTGGGCAACCTAGGTCTATGGGCATCAACATGCAGGCTAAGTGGCTGAGAATAATCTCCAGGCTTGACCAGTGACATATATAGTGTTACCTGGGCAGCACTAACTTGCAAATTTTGTAGCCTTCAGACAGTACGTTGCAAATAGCTAGCCTTGGGGTTTTATATCTACTTAATTCAGTAAGCTGTTACTAGCTTAGTGGCTTTTTCCCAAATGTTCCTCATTTTAGTGGTGTTAGTAACAGTTACACAGTTGTAAATGTGCTTAATATGCTCTTTATTCCCCCAGACCCTAGGGTACCAAATTGGAGTGCAACATTACTCCAATACAGCCCTGTCAGTGGTGCTGAAATTCAGGAAGTACAGTATGACCACAACTTTCCATGGTAGCTAGTGGCAATAAGTTATAGAAAACACTAGAGAATGCAATCGTACACAACAATTTACTGTTTGTAGTATTATTAAAAATATATCATATTTCAAATCACTATAAATAGCTTTCGCGTCAATTGATAAAAAATCCCTTGACTACTTGGATACTAAGCTTGGTTGTCTCGTCTTTCTATATAGTAATGAATGTAGACTTTAATGCTTTTATACATAAATTATATAACCTCATGTTATAAACACTGTCACAGGAACGTGGAATTAGAATTTACATGTAGTCATATGTGATATGTATAAACTAGACACTTTACATATTTTACCTTTGAACTGGTACTACCAGAAGCCATTTCTATTCAATCTCTCAAATACAGACTTTATCCTGTAGTCTGCTCATTCTGTAAATCAATAAAAAGTCCATGAAATCATCGTTGATCTATCACAAAAGGGCTTTCATTCATGACTTCTTGTCAAGAATCAAGAATATCTTGTAAATGTTTTGAAGTTTTTCAAGTTTTTTAAATTATAATAAATACGATTTGCTGTTCGCGGGCTCCGATCACTTTGTCAAACGTGGCACCGGACATTGGGCACCGGAAACGAAGGAAACGAAGGAGGTGGAGAACAGAGGAGAACAGAGGAGAACAGGGGAAACGAGTTTAGGTTATAACTACGAGTGAGAGGGCACTTCTGCAGCGGTGCAGTCGTTCATGTTCGACTTGCACTTCCCACTTCACTTGCACGTCAACTTGCACTTTTAGTCAATCCTTTAACAATGAAAGGGCATCTTTGCTCCACTTGCCCCTGCTGGTAAAATAATGGGAAGCTGTCTCTGCTGATCCCCTGAAACCATGGCTTTAGACTGACGCTTGAAAATTTCATCAGTGAACATCATTGGTACGTCATAAATCGGAAAATTGTAATAAATTCCTAGTATAATCAGTGAACTGATTACGATTCTGCAGTTGTTCACTTGTTCTGAACCACAGAACCAGTAACGTTTCCAAAGTGCTTACTGATTTATTAATATTTAAATAAATAATATGGAGTTATTTAGACCCTTACTAAGAATATATTTTGTCTTGAGAGTATTACTAACATTATATTGGCTGCTAAATAAAACGATTAGGCAAAAAGTTTCTAACAAAACTGAGATGTTATAATTCTTAGCCTTCCGGTTCTCTTATTCTAATGAACTATTATGTAAACGGACACTTTTCAGTTGCTCGGTCGTAAATAGAAAGAACCTCTCTAATTTTTCTTATTTTGACTTTTTTGCTGATTTTGAAGATGCATTATACTCATTAAGTACTAAGAGATGCAAATGTATGTACATGTGTGTTTCGGAATGGACAAGCGCTCGCGAATGCTGATTCTCTAAATTCTTTTACAAGGCTCAAATATTCGTAAACTCTCTACGGTTACACATCTCTTGTATAATAGGACTTGCCAATATTAACTAAACTACTAAAGTCATTTAAATATTAAGTAAAAGCTAGACTACAATGAAAAGTTTACATATATTTTTAAATATTATATATGTTCTTTCACTTCTTTGCTGCCAAACTTCATATATTTGGACCGAACTAAACTTCATATTTACTTCTGCTAAAAACGACAAGTGATGAAATTATGAAAATACTTTCAAAAAAAGATAAGAGTTTTTAAAAATTAAACAATTCCATTTCCTTCGTCTCTGCAAACCATTGTTGAGAGGGTTCCAGTTCTTTGAGGTTGTTGGCGTTCTTCCTGCTCCACATCGTAATTCGTTTGTGAACGTCGACTAAAACGTAGAGATTGTTTCAGCGCTTGTTTATAATTGTTCAGTCTGTACAGCCACAAGAAAGGATGAAATATTGCCGTTGTATAGAAAAGAGGTACTGAAAATAGTATGGCCAGTTGAAGTGCCGGATCATTACATGAATTACAATGCAAAAACAACATAGCGATTAAACTTTCTGGAGCAGTTGCTATCACAAAGAAAAGAACATGAATGAATAACGTTTTGGCAACTTCATAGTTTTTCTTCATTACGTTCATTCCTTGAAGAGTCGAACTTTTGATATGAAATGATACAGACAGTCTTTCTTTACGTGCGTGCAATGCTTGAAACACTCTTGTATAGAGATAAATGAATATTATAGACAAAATAACAAGTTGAACGCATACAAATGACATTACGCCTTCAGCATAAGAAGGGACCTTGCTTTTTGGCAATGTATATGGAGGGATTATGATCACACAGACGGTAACAATGGATATTAACACAAGAAACGGAACCAATATTTTACGGAATTTAAAGGCAAAATAAGCATAACGTAGAGGAACAACGATCATGCCATAAATATTTATGGTGTGAAGAAGGTTTCCAATGAAATACAAACATGAACCAGATGAAATCAAATATACAACCAGTTCTGGAAAAAATGTCTTATCACTCCAGAATGATACGCTCTCCACAAATAACACCAAGGATATGCATGTGTTTGTCACTGAGTTAAATGCCAGTAATATCGCTGTAATATTTCGCAATTGTTTCAATGGATCATTTATTATAACAAGCAATAAAACCATGTTTGATATCAAGCAAATCAAAGACATTACGCCAACTAATGTCACGACAACATTTCCTTCAACTTCATATTTCTGTGGTAATACAACAAAACCAAATACGAGAAAGGAATCTGTGGAAGCTTGAGAAGCATTTCGTGGTTGATCCATATATTTCATCTCTCGAGGAAGATGGCAGATTGACAGTTTTGTTAATAGATTATTTCTTGAAACTTCAAAGTTACTTTTATATACCTAAAGCAGTTGTCGTCTTGTTTATATTATCTCTAAGTCACTTCTGATCTTCGGTACTTCGTCGCGACTGGTGTCTAGTGATACAAATCTTGAACTGAAAAAATTGGACGAATCAGACAATCAGTAGATCAGCTAATTGAGAATATTGATAATCTTTATTTCGTAGTCTAAATGTATCGCAGCATATGATGGGAAATGTGTCCGTTGATGATCATTATAGGACAATAAATTTTTTCGACAAAGAACTCAGTGCATAGCTATGCAACGCTACGCAACACATAAATAAATACAAAAGGCATGATGGCAACTGTAGTCTGTAATTATACACACATTGCATGAATGTGAAGCCTTATCAGCTAATTATATCTAACGGCGATTCTTCATTGGTCACATATAGTCTTACGATTCGCCACACTAGTTCATTATGATAACTTCATGTATATAAAGGAGAAGGAATCAAAGTTGAAAATACAATAATGAGAGCTTTTAGTCATAAGGCCTGAATCCCGCGCACGCTAATGTTATATAACAGTTAACTTAATGTTCATTGCCGTGAGCGGAATATGAAGGGTTTTTTAGTTCTTTTAATTTCCCAATAAAAATTCTTTGTTTAGATGATGGGGAATTTGTCGCCATTAACGTATTACCGAGTTATTATTAGAGGGAGTGGCTCCAAAGCTATAAGGATAACTGGATAATGTATACAAGTATGCAGAGTTTTACTACCAATAATGATCGCTAAAAATAAAACGATCATAGAAGAAAGCTTCTAACAAAACTAAGATTGCTCGATTCTTTCGGCTTCCGGTACTCTTATTCTGAAGAATGCATTATGTAAACTGAGATTTTTTAGCTACTCTATTGCAGTAGCGTCGGCAGTGATTCTTAGACTGAATCAGCTTTTAGAGTGATTTGTCAAAATTCAACGAAAAAGGGGAAGGGTTCAAACTTTTGACCTTAACGTTAAAGAGTAACGTTAAAAATTAAGTTTCTCCTGAACCTTCTTGATTTTGATTTCTCCTGAACCTTCTTGATTATAGAACGACATATATAGCCTAGTGGCAGAACCTTCCAAATGATAAACAATCATTATTGAAGATTTAAATTATCTAGGGGTAGAGTAGAGGAAGTGTGGCTCATCTCCGGGTGTACCAAGGAATATATCCGCGGGGTGCAGACTGACATAAATAGTGACCTAATCATTTCTTCGTACCATAATATAATTTGAAAATAGAGCTTATATAACTATTTACATCAATATGTTTTAAGTTCTTTTGGTATTCGTTGCATGGGAATTTTTTCATTTGAATACTTATGATTCTTTACAGTTAATATTTACTCTGTACATAATTTATTTTATTACGTCTATCAATGCGTTTAAAGTAAGCGTTAAATTTAATTTAATAATATTTATATTCACATGCACACTGTAATATTTGTCTTTTATATACACATGCATGATAGAAAGAGCTGAGAGTCTTTATAACCTCAAACCCTTTTGTGCAGTTTCTTGATCAATATTCATGCATCTTGTGTTTTCTAAGCTCGCCATGCTCCCTTGAATCGCACAAGTTCTGGATCTTCTACGCCAGGGATTGACAGCTCTGAAGAAACGAAATGTCCTTATTGTTGCCTTTCGGTAGTTTCTCAATCTATACAACCATAGAAGTGGTAAGAATACTACCGGAGAATACGTCAAAGGAACAGCAAATAAGGCAACAATTTGTACCGCGACCTTATCACATGTTGAGCAATGAAGAAAAATTAAGAAAGCAATAGAACCAGGGAGCGTGGTGATCACAAAGAATAAAACATGTATGAGCAATGTCTTTACAATATTTTGGTTCTTCTCGCTTATCGCCCGGCCACGTACGGTTGAACGTTTCAGATGGAAAGACAGCGAAAGTCTTTGTTTTCGTGCGTATAAAGTCTGAAATATTTTGCTATAAAGGCAACCGAACAATAGCACGAATGAAGCAAGCAAAATACACAACAATGTCATCATTATTTCGACATAGGAGGGCACTTTATCCTTTGGTAGAGTGTAAGGAGGAATGACAACTATCACAAGAGCTACCAACCACATTAGAACAAGGAATTGTACCAAGCACCTCCGAACTTTGGGCGCCAATACAGCGTATCGAACAGGAACGACAATAGCGCCATAAATATTCACTGTGTGTAACGCGTTACCAATAATGTACACACATGTTGTAAATAGACCAGAATATAGAATCAATTCTGGAGACAGTTGTTCATGAGACCAATAAAACACGTCATCAAGAAACAATACCAAAGCATTGGCTAAATTTGATGCTGAGGAAAAGGCCAGTATAACCGCAGTAATCGTTCGTAGTTTTTTAAAAGGATCTTTAATAACAACCAGGACCAGAATACCGTTAGTTATTATACTGGCGAATGCCAATATGGCAACCAAATTCATTGCGATATCTCTTTCCACCTCATATTTTTGTGGTAGCCTTATAAAACCAAACACGATAAGATATTGATTCAGCTCCTGTTGAGATATGTTTTTAGTTCCATTTTCTTGCTCCATTAGTTTTTTTTTTACCAGACACAATATACGTCTATTTGTATATATAAGTTCGATATAAGTTTATTTGTGCTTTAAAGTTACAGCAATACGTACTGCTAATAGGATGAAATTATTTTTCACGGATCAGTTTTCCTGCTTGTGA